TAACATAGTTTAAACTAGTGATTCCCAAGTTGTGTGCCAGGACAAACTAGTCAGCCATGAAAAGGGCATTACATGTGCCTTGAAAAAACTAAGCCACCATGTTGGGTGCATCCACCACTCTCACATTTGGAAAGTCCATGCAGCACTGACATCTCCACCTCATCCATCTCTACCAATAGAGTAAAAGTGTCCCTGGAATCCCTGGTATAGCTGCCCTACAGCTGACAGGTGTGAGGGGATCCCAGAAGTACCCTAGTACCTAGAAAATCATAGGTACCTAGAAAACCATAGCAGATCGAGGAAAAGGGGTAAGGTGTTTAACTAGACTATATAACCAAGATTTAATGCAGTTTCAATGAGAATGTCTTCCTATTTCTCCTGGATGTTGAACACTCTAGACCAGGCATGGCCAAACTTGGCCCTCCAGATGTTTTGGGACTACAACTCCCATCATCCCTAGCTAACAGGACCAGTGGTGAGGGATGGTGGGAATTGTTGTCCCAAAACATCTGGAGGGCCAAGTCTGGCCATGCCTGCTCTAGACAGATTGTGTGTGTGTGTGTGTGTGTGTGTGTGTGTGCAAAAAGGTGTGCCTCTGAATTCTAATCCAGAAAAGAAGGGCCCATGTATCAAATGCTTGGGAAACACTAATATCAACAGATTACAGTACTAAATCATCAGGTATGGACAAATGGCTGACTGGAAAAGGATTTTCCATTGTCCATTGTCCAGTACTTTACTAGGTTTCAGATTTGTACAAGGCAGTGGGCTGACTGCAGGTTATGCAAACTTTTATCAAAGCAGGGGAAGTCATACTGCCTGAAACAATCAATACCGGGTAACAAGAATGGTGTGCTGTGTAGGTGAGTAGGCCTCACTGCAGTGTTTACCCGATATTTTCAACTTGCTGTTCCTTCAAATGTTTTGGACTACAACTCCCATTGCCCTTGACTATTGCCAATGCTGGCTGAGGCTGATGGGAGTTGTAGTCCTGCAGCATTGGCAGGTCTCAAGGTTCACGGATACATTGAAAGACCCACCGTGAAAAACAAAAAGAAGGAAAAGTGTAGCTTTGCCGGAACAGCAGGAGACAGTTGTGATGGAGGAAGAGGCAAGGCCAATAGCCTAGTATGCTCTTCTGTTAGTTCATTTGTGAAAGTTGATTCACATCTGAAAGTGCTGCTAGCCTTATCTCTCTATATGCTAACCTCTCTCTATATGTCATGTATGTTCTTCCTTGTCTGGAAGAAAACTGTCTGACCCTCCACACTCAGAGCCATGACCACGTGTACATGGCCCAGTCCATCCATGAAACTCCCCAATATTAGAGCAGCATCCCCCCCCCCAAACTGCCATGCTTGGAGAAACCACTGTCAGAATGCTACCATGATAACTGTGGATAGACCAGATCACAAACATTGTCCGTGCAATTGCATCTCTTGAAAACAATTGAGACACATCATTTGCAGAGGGGAAAGCAAGTAGTGGGCAGGCAGTGAAGCTCATTCAAGTTTATTTGCAAAGAAAGCTTTGCTGCATGGCAAACACCTATGTGTTTACTGAAATGTTTACTGTATGAAATCAGCCTCAGAGTTGCCCTTTGGGTGGTTCTAACTCCCATAACTGGTGATACACTAAGTGAAATGCAGCTTAACAGCCATGTTGGACAGCCCAGTATGGTTCCTTATTTTTTAATGCCTTACAGGTAAAGGTAAAGAGACCCCTGACCATTAGGTCCAGTCGTGACCGACTCTGGGGTTGCGGTGCTCATCTCGCTTTATTGGCCGAGGGAGCCGGCATACAGCTTCCGGGTCATGTGGCCAGCATGACTAAGCTGCTTCTGGAGAACCAGAGCAGCGCACGGAAACGCCGTTTACCTTCCCGCTGGAGCGGTACCTATTTTATCTACTTGCACTTTGACATGCTTTCGAACTGCTAGGTTGGCAGGAGCTCACCCCGCTGCGGGGATTCGAACCACTGACCTTCTGATCGGCAAGTCCTATGCTCTGTGGTTTAACCCACAGCACCACGCACGTCCCTTACGGGGACTCTAAAAACTGTGGTGTTTTCAAGCATGCTGGTGAGCAAATTTGGCTGAACAAGTGGCAAGTTGTGCATACCATCTCTAGGGCAATTGCAGCAGCATTTGGGAAGTCCTCCCCAACCCTCCTGGTTTTTAGTTATAAATCATGAAGGCTCACTGCTTTGCAGGATGCAGCAGTTACGGTTTGTGACAAATTCAGTGCCTATTGTTGAGCTATCTCAAGATAATATGATTATGCTAACAAATCTCCTATTTAGATCTTCCGCCTATAGTTCATACTACTTGTGAGATTATATGCCTCCCAAACGTTTGGGGCCTGGTGATGTTGTTCTTTTCCAAGGTCAGGGGCTGAGGAGGGGGAATCCTACATTTCTCATTTGGGTGGAACGTATTAACTTTTCAATCATTTTCCAGCATAGGTGTTTGGGGAATGGGAAGCAATTTAACAAAAATCTATAGCCTAATTTAGGCTTATCATTGCAATCTGAAGATTAATTAATTCTGTAGACCCAGGTGATTTAAAGAAATGGCAACTTTAAAAAAAGCATTAAATTCCTTGCTAGATGTTGGCAGCATGAATTGTAGTGAAAATACTTAAGAAGTCTACATATGTGGACTGATTGAGTACAGAAATTACATATCAGAACAGTTCCTTTCTCTGAAATGGTGTGGCTGTTCAAAAACTGCTATTTTTTTTTATTGAAATCCTTTACCTGCTTACCTAAACCCCACTGCACGCATTTGGAGTTGTTTTTGTAAAGGATTGTGCTGTCAGATAGATAAATTTAAACTACTGTAATCGATAGGTAAAAATACTGACATTTCGTTTTAAAAGATACTTGGTCCCACTCTGGATATTTATTAAATACAGTGGTACCTCGGGTTACATACGCTTCAGGTTACAGACTCCGCTAACCCAGAAATATTACCTTGGGTTAAGACCTTTGCTTCAGGATGAGAACAGAAATCGTGCTCCGGCGGTGCAGGCCCCATTAGCTAAAGTGGTGCTTCAGGTTAAGAACAGTTTCAGGTTAAGAACGGACCTCCAGAACGAATTAAGTACTTAACCTGAGGTACCACTGTATTGCACTATTTGAAGAAATACTTTAATAGTTTGTGTCCCACAATCTGATTTTAATACTGACCCAGTACCCAAATGTTCATCTGTTAGCAATAATTATGCAGGAGACTCCCATTGAAGGAACATTCCTCTTGGCTGGATCTACAACCCAGATCAAAGATTGGGTCTTTCCTTGTGACTATCTTAGACTGAAAACATCACCAATGCTGTGATTGGGAGGATACAAAGGACTTGGCTATTGGATAGATTATGCCCAGTCTGTCAGAGAGATATGCCTTGAACAGTTGCAAGGCAGCCATAAAATATTTCTTTCTTTCATCCTCAAAGAACCAAAAGTGGCAATTGATTTAACACACACACACACACACACACACACACACACCATGGTGGTGCAACTGGGAAAAAATATTGTAACCAATTCTAGAGTGTGCACCTATGGTGTAATCTGTAACATTGGCCCTTTGGGTGGTGCTTGGACTGCCAGCTTCTTGCATTCACTGTGTAATATATTAATATGCCCGAGGGATGCTTCGTTGGTTTACCGTCCAGTTGATACTGATAGCTCAATGTGTGAACTAGCGTGGCTGAAAAGACCTGTGCTTGCAGTAATATGAAAGCTCTCTTTGTTGTGTTGTGGCTGTACAGGTCACCCACCACTGTAACATTCTGGAATAACATGGAATAACCCAGTGACTCGCCATAATTGGATGGTTAATTTAACCACTCTGTGTTCCTGGTTGGCAAGGCAAGTCATAATGCTCCTGCAGTAAGGGAAAGGAGTGAAAATACTTAAAATTTTCCTGTTGGCAGCATCTCCTTTGATGCTCATAGCCATCAATATGTCTGTTATAACCTGGCAGTGCATGTGGTAGTCAGTGATACTGTTTCTGATGCTGAGATGAGCAGCAACGCCAGTAGTTCCCTTGGCCCAGGTTCTGCTGAGCTACTTGATCTCTACTCAGGCTGACTGAGCTTTGTCAGTGTGTTTTAGACAGCCAGGCAATTCAGAGGAGGTCTGCAGACCACAGGAGCTGCTGGCTGTTAGAAGTGTGTTGTGGAAGCAGTCCCTTGTGCTTGCTTTTCCTCTGAATGTTTTTTTAAAAAAACAAAAGAGAGTGCCAGCACACTCTGCAAATGAGCAATATTTGTCTCTGCAGCATCAAGCTGCTAATACAATCAGATCTATTACCCTTTGTCATCCTCTCAGTAGGATTGTTCCCCTCTAGGTTTTAGCCTCTGAGCCATGATAATAAATCACAGAAGGCTAAGGGAAAGTTGGTTACCCAAACACAGAAGAGTTTACCATTTAAATGGCAGAAAGCAACCATCTATGAGGCCCACAATGCGTGATTTTTGTTTTCTTAAAAAAAGATCGTTAAATCTGTAACAAAGAAAATTATTGCAAGAGAGAGTTCTCACTATATTTATGGTTATAAGGGATGTTGTACAAAACATAGTGCATCAGCTTTGTCTAAACATTACTTAGGTGTGAATACACAAATATAATTAAAAAAAAAACCAGGAGCATACTTTACAACATAACTTACAGTACTATAAATATATTTTATATACATGTTAGTATATTTTTAAGACATGATCTTCATACATACATATACATATATATATTATATCTATACATATGTGGTTTGTATTAATATTAGACTATTCAGTGCTTTAATTTTATTATGAATCTGCACTTTACATATAAATATTTGCATTTTTTAAACCAATAGCAAATTCTTCTATATCAGAAGGCTCTTGCAACCTCTTAAGCTCAGTCTATTGGTAGAGTGATCTGTCCATGGTTCTGATGAAGAGTGTTGATGTATCTTCAATCGAAGACTTGTCCTTCTATTTGACTGCTCCTCATGAGGCCTAGAATAGTGGTTGCAAAGGAATGACTGCAGGATGTGGTGACAGGAGTGAGGGGAACAGTGTGTGGGGCAATGGGGGAAATGCCAAATGGCTTGGGTGGAGAACTGAAGCTGGAATGAGGGGCAGTTGGGGTGGGCCAACGATGGCTGTGTGACTTGCAGGGCAAAGTCTTGGCCCGACTGACAGATGAGGTAAAGGTGTCCGTGAAAGAGCTGGGACTTGGGAAAGAAACTGTTGGTGAGGCTGAAGGACCTTAAATGTACTTGCTGCTGCAGCTGCAGCTGCAGCGGCTGCTGCTGCATGCTGTTGCAAAACCGTGTGGTGGATTGTAGTGACCGAGGTAGAGCACAGAGGCTGCTGCAAAGGCAAGGGCTGCAGAGGGGCATTGGAAGCTTGGACTGCAGCTGGAGGAAAGGTCAGCTTCATCTTACTGGCGAGCATGTTTTGCTGGAAGATCTGGTGGTAGGCCTCGCATTGCAGATCTTTGAACTTGTCGTGGCTTTCGGGAGGCAAAAGCAATGTGTGTTCGGGCAAAGTGAAGGGGGCAAGAATTTGCTCTGTGGTTAAAAAAGTGTGACTGTTCATATGTGCTTCTTTAAAGGGCAAAGGGGGCGGTGCATTAAATATACCTGGGTTATACCGTAGCCACTCGTTGACTGATGGGTTGAGTTTCTCTTGGGGCATAGCCTCAGCCACTTCATAATGACACAGATATGCTTTAGGAGGAGGCTGATCAAAGTTTCTTTCAAGACTGGGCACTTTATTAGGAGCTTGCATTTCAGGTTTTTCTCCTTCTTCTAGCATGTTTTGGGGTTTCACCATTGGCTGAACACTGTGTTCGGTAACAGAAGAAGAAGAAAATGTAGATTCCTCCAGAGAGGTAGTTTTCTCTGTACTGGAAGAGTTTGAACCTTTGATATTTTCTAATGAAAGTAAATGTTCAGATTGTGGAGGTGTTTGACTTTCTACTGACTGGATTGTTTGTTCCATATTACCATTTGCATCATCTGTGATGGAAGATATTTTCGTTTGCTCTGTGTTTTCTTCAGTAAATAGTTTGAGGGAATTATTGATTGTGCATACCCTTTTAGGAGACTCAACAATGACATTCCTTCTTGGTGCCCTCTCTCTAAATGCATGTTGAGTTCTTGCTCTCTTTCTCCTTCGTTTCCGTTTAGGTTTACAAGGTGCTGCTAAGTTACATGTTTGCCTCAGATTCTCTTCTGAGGAACAGGTCAGTGCATTTGAACTTTCATCTGATGAACAAGAATACATATGATGTTTCCGTTTCCTATGGGACCTCTCTGGCTCTTCTGTGAGCGAATGATAGGCTCTCTTCGTGGGCTGTGATTGATTCACACATTTTTCTTCAGGAAAATGGTCTAAATGTTTATGGTCTGGGCTACTGCTACATCTTCTGATTCTCCAACTACAAAATGCTCCAGAATGAACTGAGTTGCATCTTCCAGAACTTGAACCTGGTTTATTTGATTGTCTGTGAGAAATTGATTTACTCCTTCTCCACACTTGGTTAGAGTTAATGTAGAATTCCCTATTGTCTTTTATGTTGCAAGTGGGATGTAGACTTTGGTTTCCATGGACCTGTGTGGATGTTCCACCACAGTCACTGTTATCAACCTGGAAAGTTTCAGATGTCTGCTGAAAGAGTTCCACAACTGAATCTCCCATTCCATTTTCACCAGTGTCTTGTTCCAGAGCATTATGAAGTTTTGGATGTTTATCAACATCAGCACAGTTATTTTGCTGTTCGAGTAAGGGAGAAATTTTAATATCTGCCTCAGTAATTTCCTCCTCATAATGGTGGTGGCATAGCTTTCTTCTTCTTTTCCTCTTCCTGTTTTTGTGAAACCACTTTTCATGTGTTCTTTTTATCCAGGCTTTGTTTTGCTGTTCTGATGAGCTTTCATGTATACATTTTGGGGAATTATGACATTTTTCATTTTCTCCAATCATCCACAAAGTATCTAGGCTTAGGCCATCTTGTTTTTTATTGAGGCTACAATCCTCTGCCACTGAAGCATCCGTCGTAGTTAATTTTTCATCATTGTATGGATGTGTGTTAATGTGAGATGCACAGTCAACATTTGCTAAAAGAGATTTATCTGGACAGTCTAAACTCAAATCATGGTTTGATTGAGGTTTATTTTTCTCGAGGCATTCATTCGATCTTGATGACCTAAAGTCAAAACATAATGGATTACAACTGTATGAAATGACTGGCTCTGTGTTTGTGTAAATTAACATTTCTGATGGCCACTGAAGAATGGTTGATCCATGTTTGTTAAGCACAGGAACAAATGGCTCACAAGGTCTCTTTTGTGAATTTTGTTTACAAGGAAAAGCTACTGTTTCCCCCTCAGAATTTGCTGGCATCAGTCCATCCGATGAGCATTTTTTAATTTCAACTTCAGCGGCTGGTGAATCGCTGCTCAGATTCTGATCATTTTTTTCCTGGATATCCTGCTGTGATAAACAGTTTTCATTCACAGGGAGACCTGTGCATTTATTTCCATTGGGCTCATCACTATTACTTTCTGCAGGGAGGGCTTTGTTCCCAAGGGCAACTTTGGATGATGTTTCATCTGGTGAGGCAGCTGAATCTACATTAACAGAAAAGCCCTCTGAATCGCCAAGCCCAGGTTCTTTCAAATGAGAAGCAGGAGATCTTAATTCCATGACGTCCTTTATCATGTTTCCTTCACTGGGTAGTTCATCTGGTAGTTCCTGTACTTGGAGAGATTCATCAGCATGTTTTTCCATTAGTGGAACAATAGAATTAGGTTTCTCCTCAGAACACAGAGACATTTCTTCATTCAGTGAAACCTGAAGGCTGCAAGGTCCAGGAACAAACCGGCTTCTTCTGCTAAGCCCATGTTCAGATGAAGTTTCATCATTGTATTCATAGAAGGCAGCAGCCGATGATTCCAGCTTGACTGCTGCTTTCTTAGGAAATGCAAAAGAGAACCCCACTTTATGTCCATGGAGCCCCTGTGTTTGATCCCCAGGCTTGTTAATGTCTGGCTTGCTGTTATTTGCATTATCAGGTGAGGAAGAAGCCACAGATGTAACATTGTCAGCTGTCTTTGAGCTGTGCAATAATGCAAAGTTGAATTCTTGCTCCTTTTTAGTAGAGTCTATGAGAGCACGTGGAGGGATTTCGGTACAATTATCTCGGACTGTAACTGTCGTGGATCTGAACATAGGGCCACTCCCTGGAGCACTGAAAGAAAACAAGAATACACTTTCTGTAAATGCAGTTCAGAAGCATTTGAAATGCAAAGCTAGCAGTGCAGTAACAATGTCACCTTTCCAAAAACAGCACAATCCTGACATTTTACAGGCAAAAGATACGCATGCATTTGAAGGCAATTCTGTGCACAAGTGCTGCCTGCAAAACTCTCCTGTAGGTCCCGTGAGTTCCAATTGCTACAGAGGGTTGTATATCACCACCATCATTATCAGGGGTCAGCAACCTTTTTCAGCTGTGGGCCAGTCCACCGTCCCTCAGACCATGTGGTGGGCTGGACTATATTTTGAAAAAAATAAATGAACGAATTCCTATGTCCCCCAAATAACCCAGAGATGCATTTTAAATAAAAGAACACATTCTACTCATGTAAAAACATGCTGATTGCCAGACCGTCCATGGGCCGGATTTAGAAGGCGATTGGGCTGCATCCAGCCCCCAGGCCTTAGGTTGCCTACCCTTGGCTTAATGCCAAAATAGGCTTCCATTTGGTTTATAGCACCATCAATGTCTACTCAAGTGCAGCGGTGAAGGAAGGGTAACCGGCACCCAGTGCGGGGTGTCGGGGGCGGGGCAAACCACCCGGCTACGCATGCGCAGTACATAGCATGAGCCGCAAACACGACATGTGCGCATGTGCCACCAGGCTGTTTCCCTCTCACATGGCGACGGTGGCGCGATGGCGGGCGGTAATCCCGTGGCAGGGTGCCTTCTTGTCACCCCCTTAGAGATGGCACCTGGCACGGACCTCCCCCTGCCCCCTTCCCTCCGCCACTGCTCAAGTGTCTAGGAGGAACCTGGTCTAGATGTCATAAGTGGGAGCTACCATCTTTTGCTTTCTTGCTGCTTCCCCCATTTGCTTGCCTTTCTTAGGGCTCACTATGTGCAGCTGCCCAAAGAGAGATTGAAAGCAACTTCTCCTTCTTTCAGTGCTTGCTGGAGAGGGGAGGCAACAACAGGAGGGAGGAGGAGGATGAACCCAGGCAGTGGTCTCTAGAGTTGGCAGAGGGCCCTTTGCCAAAGCATGGACTAGATAAGCTCAGTTGCTTAGAGTCTGTTGATAACCCCAAGGCTGCAGGTTCGATCCCCATATCGGACAGCTGCCTATTCATGGGGTTGCACAAGATGATCCTCAGGGTCCCTTCCAACTTTACAGTTCTATGGTTCTAATTAACACTGTGGTTAAAGCAATGCCTCTTTTTTAAAAAATGGAAGAAATGTATTAATAGATAGGTCTTAGAACTCTTCCATGCTGTGAAGTATGCAAAACAAACAAAAACAATTTCCAGGTTTCCCACCCATTCTCATTCAATATGGCAAACCACACTTTATATAACAGCTCTGTGTCCTGGGAGGAAATGAGCACATAGTTAGATGCCAAGGGTTTCATTTGGCCTGATGCGGTTCTATTCTCTGGAAACAAAAAAGAAAAAGAAGAAGAAAAGAACAAAGGGTGGGGGGGAGAAAAAGACACCATGTCTCTTTCTGGTCATTTATTCTCCAGCTCCCTTCTGTTCTTATTCTCTTACAAAGAAGTCAGGAAGACATCTATACCACTGAACTAGACAATTATTTGAAAGTGACAAGGACAGAATTGCAGCTGGAAGTTTTCTATGGGTCTTCCACACCATTACGCTGGAATGACAAAATTTGTCTTGACTTTTTCTTTAGGAGAAACGTAATGGCAACTTTTGGTCTGGTTCACACACACACTGGCCCACCCCCTGCCAGCCTTGGACTGGAGTGTCTTCCACCACCGTGGGGAGAACCTTCAGCACAAACAGAGCCCTACACACAAGTACACCAAATTAAGGCTATCTGTCCATTGTGGTTGGGGAAATGGAAACCGGTACTTTACATGAGTGGGACTTCACATTTAGTGAAGGTTCAGTGAAAAGAATGTGTGTGAACCTGGGACTTTTACCTATCTCTCAGTGAACATGACACCTACATGCTACAGTTGAATGTGTGAATGAACCAGACCTAATTTACATGTAAGCACCCCTCTCCCCACTGATCAATAAAGGTGGAATTCAGTGTTGCTCTCTTGCAAACGTTCTGTCTTTGCAAGTATTTCAACTAGCCAGATGGAACAATCCCATCTCCCCCTCCTCCCCATTGTTCTGTGGGTTCTCCTGATGCCCCATCAAGTCATTCTTTGAGGGATGGTGGAACCCCATGTCTCAAGCAGAAGTCCTTGCACAGGGCTTCTCCTGATGGAGTTTCTTAAGCGAATCCCATCCCACATATTTATGAAAATCCATATTGCAGCTGTGAATCATAACACAGGGATTTATTGTCTCTCAAGCATGTATATTTTGGTAAACATCAGTTTGGCAATTCTGCAAGGCATGTTTGCTCCCACCCTTCCCTTCAAGAAAGAAATGCAAGGCCTGCCACTCCCATGGGGAGGGGAGAGGGGCTTGGTCACATGGTATCAGTGGGCAAATAGGAGGTGGTCTGGAAGGGGTTTTTAAGGTAGCTCCTCCTTCAGACCCCCTCCTGTTTGCCCATTGGTACCCTTTATTGGCATTATAGGCTAATCACCCAGAGCTGAGTAGGATTTTTGTTGTTGTTAGGGCCTCTCTTCCCCCACACACTTCACACTGTTGAGTAAATTTGATTGGCATTCAGGGAGAGGTATGGCTTGCTTGCCAGTATGGCATTGAGTCTGAGTAGATAAGAAAGCTGGGTGCAAACCCTAGGTTTATGGAAGCAGTATTGGGCTAAGGACACCCTTCAGGGACCAGCTGCTACATTGTGCCTGGAGGGCTTGGAGGAGTGTCCCTTGAGGCCTGGAGTACACACACAGGTGAATGCTGCACAGTCTGCATGCACTTGTGGGGACCATACACAAGGTTTTTCTGATGAGGAGGGAGTCTTTTATTCACTGACCTTAGCTGGGGAGCCACAGTGCAAGGCTGCAGCTCATGTCCAGACTGGGTGAGGATTTACCTGTCAGAGTTTGACAAAGTCCTCACCTTTCTGTTAAATCTGAATTTGTTTGATTGGGTTGACTTGTTTGCTTGGAATGCATATCCTCCATTCTGTTAACATTTTAAGAAATAGAACCTTTAACCTATTCTATGCCTCAAGTCTCCTTTCTGGATGTGTAGGGGGGGCATGGCATAAATTATATGTCAAAATCTCTTTAATCTTGAATTTGTACAGCATGCTGTCCAACTTTTCTCTTTCAAAAATAGGGACACCCTTAGGAAAAGAGGGACATTCTGGGATCAAATCAAAAACTGGGACAGCTTCTGTAAATCAGGGACTGTCCCTGGAAAATAGGGGCACATGGACATCATATGGAACAGGACTTTATTATAAAGAGCCAAAGTACCATGCCTAGGATAGGGCACTAATTTCCCTACTCTATAAAATCCCACCTGCCAGAATTATTTTAGCTTCCCTTGAAACATCTTCAGATCTTTTGACTGAACAAGATCTTCCGCATTTGTCTCAAATTTCACTTTGTGTGCAATTTGGTGGAAAGCCCAACTGACAGCAGCTCTCCAGGGCCTCTCAGACAGTCTTGCTATCCTTGATCATTTCATCGGAAATGCTTACAACGGAACTTGCAGCTTTGTGTATGCAAAGCATGGCCCCTGCCACTGATCGGCAACCCCCCCTCCCCTGTGTTTTTAACGACATTTTGGGAATGCGTGTTGCGCTAGCAATTTTGGAATGACTTTTAAACACATCTTATTTGACACACGAGTTGTTGAGTGAAGATAAGTATGGAACCCCCCATGGTCATTTTAAATAGTTGCTCTCCGAGCACAGCTACCCTATACCAGACAGGTTTGCATTTTCTCTGATGTAGCATGTAGAGCTCTTAGCTGTATTTCTAAAACATTTATAGCTGTATCTAAATGTATACAGTACCCCAGGGGTCCAGCTTGCAATTTCAGATATGTATACACATAGGCTGATCTATTGTCCTCCTCTCTCTCCGAAGCACCGCCATTAATAAATATACCATTAGGTATAATGTGATCATTAGCACAGCATGAGGAGTTGGATACGGACCTCTGGCTGTGAGTTATTTAAAGGTTACAAAGGCCTGAGGAGTAAGGGTAAAATAATAACAACACACACCCCAACCGGCAACATGCTAAATCAGAGTTTTTGGATTTAAACTGTTTCAGCTGTACAGTAACCTAGAGGGCTTAAATTATTTCTGGTTTGAATTGTTCATGGTCTGCAGCCAATTCATTGCAGAGTCTTGGGTCTGGAAGAAGACTATAAGGTCACTCATTTTGCCTTTCTGTAATTAATTGCTTTATATACAAATATCCCTGATGGGTTATTCTTCAAATCCAGAATTGAGGGGAGTAGGGGTGCTGAATGCAACCATAGGGCAAGGATGATGATGAGGAGAAGGAGGAGGAGGACGATGATTTAAAGGGATATCTTAAGGACGTGAGTCATGCCACCCATTAATTGGAAATAGGAAACGTTACTATTTTCAGGGGGTTATTAGTCAGTTCTGATGAGAAACAAAAGTTGCCATTAAGAAGTATAGGCTGGCAGGCAGGATTTGGGAAAAGGTTTTGGGAAATATAGATTCAAGACCCTGCTCAGCAAGCTGGGTATCTGTGAGTATACCTCAGCGTCAGTTGCCAACCTGTGAAATGGATGTGATAACTGTCAAAAGAGTATAAAGGGGGTATATAATTCATAGGAATTACAACTAACACTTGATAACCCAAATTCTCAGTTCTCGGATCTATATTTTTGAAAAAGTGGTCAAATGACATTTCTCTTAAATCAGGGTGAGCCAATGTGATGATCTCCAATCAGATGTTGCAGTACTACAACTCCCATCATCCTTGACCATTGGCTGTGCTGTCTGGGTCTGATGGCACCTGGACAACATCCGGAGGATGCATTGCTGGGTACTCCAGCCTTTCAGATTATTTTTTGTCAGTGCTCCCCCTGGTCATGAGGTACAGTATGTTATAGGTTAGGTCTTAGAGAGCTGTTCTTTCTTATCAATGCAGTAAATCTCTGAGCAGTTTTGCATGACAATTCAGATCTCTCCACTTAGAAGTCCACTAAAAAACCCATGTTTATTGTTTTAAAAAATGTCAGAAATGAAGGAAAATATAGGACTTCAGTCATCACGCATAATTGCCTGTCAGCGCAACAAGAAAATACTTCATAATGGCAGCCAATCAATTTAGAATGTGCTAAGAGCAATGATTTGTGGTGATGAAGTGAATGCTATTAGCAGTTTGAATGTGTGAACACACCTCAATAAAAGTTGTAACACGAATTGCACATTTAAAGTGTGACATAAAGCAGCAGCCATAAGGGGTCCTCTGTTTGCCGTTTCCACAGTATATATGGTTTGTGACACTGAGAAGCGGTTGCTTAATGCAGTAAAATGTTTGACTTCGTTCTTCCCACCCAGCATATCCTCATATTGCTGCTACACATATTTCAATGTCTACAATGGCTTCATGCAATCCCAGATGGGAGAGCAATATGGATGTTTGCAAACTGAGATGAAAGATGGAATGCTACTAGTGATAAAGGATGCAGGGAGGCTACCAATGATAAAAATGTGTGACATCCCCGATGTTGGACCAGATCATCTGCTTGTTACTATGCATGTTCCCAGCAGTACTGATTGAGGGTTGGGCAGGGGGAGAGAAAATTAGGGATATTCTGCCATCAGTCTACAGTGATCAGCATCTTCCTGTTGGGATCCACAGAATGCTGTGTGAGGTAGTAAGTCTGCAGGCTTGAGTTTGCTAGCTGATGCAATCAGCCTGCAATACTTTCTATGGAGGTGCTGGGTCAGAATGACTCAGCAGTAATGTACTAACAGTTGATTGGCTGTCATCGGTTTAAAAAGGAAACCTGTCCAGCAGTAATGGTGGTGGTGTAGAGGAGTGTGGTCAGAGAGAAAGAGTCTTCCTATTTGCCTTAAGGTGCAGCCAGGTACTCTGTCTGACTGTATGAACTGCTTCTGTAGATATTTGTATATATAGTAAGGGTAAAGGGACCCCTGACCATTAGGTCCAGTCGTGACCGACTCTGGGGTTGCGGCGCTCATCTCGCTTTATTGGCTGAGGGAGCCAGCATACAGCTTCCGGGTCATGTGGCCAGCATGACTAAGCCACTTCTGGCAAACCAGAGCAGCACACGGAAACACCGTTTACCTCCCTGCCGGAGCGGTACCTATTTATCTACTTGCACTTCATGCTTTCGAACTGCTAGGTTGGCAGGAGCAGGGACCGAGCAACGGGAGCTCACCCCGTCGTGGGGATTCGAACCACCGACGTTCTGATCGGCAAGTCCTAGGCTCTGTGTTTTAACCCACAGCGCCACCCATAGCCCACATTTGTCTATATAGCTCACAATAAATAATACTGCACTGAAGAACCTGGAACTCTGAGCTTTTCTGCTAAAGAGCCGTGAAGAATTCGCAACACTTCCCACTGTAGCACCCACTTTCCCCCTGGGACCCTGAAGATTTTTTTACATGGGCAAATTCCTTTGCAGGATTTGACTCAATCACTGGAACCTCCTCTTTCTGTAAGAGCTATTCGACAGTGGGACAGACTCCCTCAGGAGGCTGTGGACTCTCCTTCCTTAGAGGTTTTTAAGCAGAGGTTGGATGGCCATCTGTCATGGATGCTTTAGCTGAGATTCCTGCATTGCACGGGTTGGAATGATGACCTTTAGGCTACCTTACAACTCTACAGTTCTATGATTCAGTGATAATATCACCAGGTAGCAGGTGGTGGGATGGATCTCTGCCAGAGACTCTGTAAACCTGTAGTCCATCAGAGTAGACAACATTGGGCTAACGTGTCCAGTGATTTGACTCTGAAGAAGCTAAGTTCGTATCTGCTTGCACAATGGGACTTCCTCTTCCTCTCCTGTCCCTGTACCTCCTAACAAATCAAATCAAAACAAAACCCTGCACCGGAAGGTGCCTGCTATGGGCATCTAGTTGGCCACTGTGAGAACAGGATGCTGGACTAGATGGGCCTTGGGCCTGATCTAGCAGGTCTCTGCTTACGTTTTTATGTGTGCAGGTGAGTCAATGAAAGAGAAGTCTTGTTGTGCAAATGGAATTGTATTGTACAAGCAGAATGGCAGCATTGGCTACAGCACTATTATTCCACTTCCTCAGTTGCTGGTAAGTGAAGCCCCTGAATCAGCAACCTTTGTGATCAATGTGACATTTGCTATCAATAAACTGCTTAAAGCAGAATAGGACCCAAATTCCAGAATGAATACTACAGAATTGAACTGGGTTGTGCAATATTGTGCAGACTAGCAGCAAGCCAGCGTATTCCTTTCCTCATCAGTGGTGTCCTGTCAAAATTCAAATGACTGACCTAGTTTCCTAATGTTTTCTTCTGCTAAGCCTGATTTATTAAATATATATAGGACATGTTTTTAACTCAAATACTTGTCATTTTAGCTCTGTTGAAAAAGTAATGTTAAAACATTTATTTCTTTGCATGGTGCCACATCTAATTGCAACATACAGTTCAGAGAGTGCCAAAAATATATAGCTACTTTGTTCTGGTTTGAGATCTTAATAGTCATGGGGCATTCTGCCACATCATGTCATCTGGAATATTCTTCCCCCTTTCCCTGTACTTTTTACCTTTCAATAACTTTTCACTCACCACACAGCTTCTTTTCTCAGTTCAGCTAACTTGTGTAAGCGTTGAAGGGCTTTTTCTTGCTTCCTTTCATCTTTTCTTGATTTGGAAGCTACATTTCGGGCAAACTCCCTCTGTTTCAGCTCCTTGAGTCTCTATTAGGAACAATTGAAAGCAGGGTCAGGGGGAAGGGGGGAGGAGAGAAACATTTAATGCAAAAAGAGAGGAAAATACTGCAAAATTATTTAAGAAGCCATTATTTTCAGTTCTCATTAAACCCTCTGATTTATGCATTTATACAAACTGAGAGTAGCCCCCGAATTTAGCATAGCTATGATGGCATTTTGTTCAATTGCTAGTCCTTCATGATTGCTTGTGTATTGCTTTGGTAGCAAAATGGTTTTGTTTAAGGAAATGACCCAATACTACTATCTCTAAATTTATTTATGGGGTATTGTTTAGTTCCAAAAGCATCGATGAGGAGGGAAGATACATTTTTGTGGTTCATCTCAAGCACCAAATGTCTTGAACTGGCCCTTCTTGTTACTCAGCTACAAGTCTTCCATAATGGCAATATTTTTAGGTGGAATTCAATTACATACCAGCAAATTCAGGTCACACGCTTATAGCTGATTGGGAGAACAACAGACTTGCTTCCCAAAAAAGATTGTTCTGGAAAGCTTAGGCAACTCCTGTTTTGATGCACCATCATCTAGCCTCCCTGCAGACAATTTGGAATGAATGCTCACTTAAACAGTCAATGTCATCTAATCTACCTCAAAACCAAGGTGAATGTTCAAGGAAGTGCTCACCAAGAAGTGCCCTAAGATATTTATCCAAAGCATTCAATATAAAGCAAGTAGGGAACTAGCTGCCTTGAAATAAAAAAGAAAGAACTCTTGATATAAATCCTAAAATCACAGGTTTCAAAATTATAGATGAGAAGGCAGCATGCTTCTGCATGCCCAGGGGGATGGATTCCATTCTGGCAAGGAACAGGCAGACTTCCCTCAGACCAAGCTGAAACAGAGACCAAAGACACAAATTAAACTACCACTTTGAAACCTGAGATCTGCGGTTGGGAGTTAGAGGGGTGGATGGACAAAGGAACCACCATCCACCCTGCTGAGAGCCTGAGGGCCCTGCTACTGCCTCTATCCACCTGGTCCAGGGTGTGGCCAGGTTTTATAAGGACTGCTGCTGCTGCTCAGCAGAGAGGGCTTCTTCTTTTAAATTGCTTTTAAATTGTTTTTTTATAGCCTTTTTTTTTTTAGTGTTTTAACTGAGTTGTTCCAAATTTTCAGTTCAGTTCTCTACTGTTCCACACCAGTTAGTGGGTTTTTTTTATTAAAAAAAGTTTTTATGAAAATTAATCAGAATTTTAGTGTAAATAGATACTTTAGGGGGGTATAATTTGGCCTAATATACATTATTTGCAAAGCAATTGTCCTCAATGTAATGCATTTTTGTGATGTTTTCACTAATGCATGTACACTTTACCCCAGTATATGCATCTCTGTACACATTACTTGGTTGGATAATTGTGTTGCAATAGATAGAGAGGTGTGCATTGTAAGTTGGTTTGCATATTGTTTCCAAAAGTGCAAATTTGGCAAGCTCACCTTTAAATGTGAACTGAATTGAATTAGTTCCCCATTCCTAATCTGAGGAGTGGCTATGGAAACAGTTTGAGGTTTCCTCTATGATGGTGCAGACATATAGAGAGGATCTTTGTATGTATGTGGGGTTTTTTTTGGGGGGGTGCAGTAAAATTGGGGTCTTCTTTTGTTATACAGACAAGCTTATTAAGCTAATCAAAGTTCAGCCTTTCCAATCTGACCCTAATCCAAACAACAACCCAAAAAATCTAACCAATTACATTTTCAATCTTGGAAGGTAAATACATTCTACCATAGTGGTTAAAATGGACAGATGAGACAATCAAATGCTACACAACTTTATTAAGGACAATCTTCAAAACAAATATTTACACTATGGATAGCAATGGTGCCCCTGTCCTTGCCCCACTGTGTTGCCTCAGAATTACTTCCAACTGCTTTGGCACATCTGCACTCAAAAAAACTAGGCTTAGTATTTTACGGTATATGTTGAAATAAACAAGGGTGTTTTCCAAAAGGAGTTTGCAACTTTCATCCATCTGATCATTTGTATTATTCATTTATTTTAAACATTTTTAACCTGGTCTTATTCACAAGTGATCCCAGGTGGGGTAAAAAAACACCAAAAAACCAAATTGAGAACAATTACAACAGCATCATTCTGCACAATAATATCAGAAAACATGAGCCAGCAAACAAATAAAAATGGCAGCCATTCACATAGTTGACTACATCTTAAAAGCTAGTCTAGGAGTTAATATCCATCAAAGGCCTTAGCAAAGGCCTGATTTGGTAGTTGAATTTAGGGGCTGGAAAACAAACCAATACAACCATTTTGTTTCTTCTGTAGTTTAGAGAAAGATCCTTAGCAACTCACTCTGAGTTCTACCTTTCACTCCTGACCATCCACTATAGTCCTAATTTGCCTAACATTGTCACTTCCTGTGCTCTGTGCTTCCACAAACTCACATCTACACAATTCTTCATAAGTCTGATTTAAGTCTATTATTTATAATGAAATATAGATTTATAATGGCACATAGGAACCTGTGTTGTGCCAAGTTGTCACACCAGTGATCTGTTAAACGGAGTCTTGTCCGACCAGACAGTGACTCTGCAGAGGGTCTCCCAGACCTAGCTGGAGATACCTGGAGCTTTCTGCATGCTGGTCTACAGCTCTTCCCTAGCAAGCACCTAGCAAGCACACCGCTGTTCAGGAGTCCTCCACTCCTCTCCTCTCCATTTCCTTTCCTTTCCTTTCCCTTAAACTGCAGCCTTTGTGAAGCACATTTGCATGAACCTAATTTATTCACCCTTTAGTAGTTTGGTGTACTCCCTTTCTCATTCTGAGTGATACTAGCGCCGTGCCATCTGTCTCTTCAGATGCTGTCATAAACCTTAAAAAGATGCCGAGAAAGAGCAGAGTGAAATATTACACTCGTGGGTTAATGGGTATTACTTGTCACTTCAGTAGCTCTGCGTGGCTTTTCAGGGAACCCTTGATGGGTACAAATAAATGATTTGGAAGTTAAAATAATCATGACCTCTGCTGTAAGTATTCCCCAGGTGGAGCTTGCGAAAAACATTCCCATCTGTTGCAAGCTAGAAACAATGAAACTTAGGCATTTTGGACAAGACTTTGGAATATTTGATAGCCTGCACTATACTACAGAATGCTAGGTTACTGAGGCTCCATTTCATAAGACCCAGCTCTTATTTTGTTTGAGGATTGATGGTAGCAGTTGCAACCCCCTCGGTTGGTATTAAAGATATTCTTCTCCTGTCTGTGCAGATTGGGACATCAGGAACATCCACACCACAGACTTAAACTGGTGAAACTATTTTTAAAAACCTGGCTCTCTGGCTAGGCAGTCATGCCCCCATGGCTGCACCGGGTGGGGGGAGCTTCCCATCAGCTGGCGAATATGTGGGTCCAGCTGCCGGGAAGGAGGTGGAGAGTGATGGTTCTCAACCAATGCCCACCAGGGAAACAGTGAGTGTCCGTTCTGTGGACAAGGTCAAAACGCACACTACCGCCAGTGATGGCTAGCCCAACTCCAGGGTGGGTGGGTTGAAGATCTGATGACTGAGGTGACAAGTGGGAGTGGACCTGAATGAAGTCCCCAAGGGACTCAGCCAACTCTGTAGCTCCACTCCCTGAGTGTGCCAATCTCTGGATCCATCTGCTATTGATCAGTTTGCAGGCAAACCAAATTCAAAATTCCCCAGTTGGTGAAAGAGACTGCTGTGTCTTCTACTGGCTGTGGTACTCAGCTGTTGGGTCTCCAGGAGCAGCGGGGTGGTGCCATGAGCAACACAGTGTTATGGTTAAAGGTAAGCAGAATTCTTACAAATTTGCACATATACACAAATATATATTCCGCTGCCAAACTACACTTACAAATCGGTGACTAGGTCTGCCTAAGACTACATCCACAGAAAACAGCCTGTTTAAGTTTGGGATTAAGTGCTTCTTTCACATTCTTACCTTCTTTTTTACTAGCTTGCAAATGGAAGAGCTGTTTAAGGACATGTAACAAAGCATAAAATGGCATTAAAATGTGGAAAACCCATACATTAATAAAAAAAAGATACTGAGAAACACATTAGCTTCATTCCTGGAGACTAGACAGGGACTCACAATGCATTTTAGATTCCTTCATGACAGAGGAAGAAAAGTTCCTGCCTTAAGGGGCTTACGTATCTAGAATATGAAACAGGGGAAGCTGTGGAGGAAAGGGAGGAAAGCAAGGCAGGTGGTAAATGGGGGAAGATGGGCTATTATTTCAGTTATATGTAGAATGAGAACATCAGGGTCCTGTTGGATCAAGTCAAAGGCTTGCTGTCCAACATGCTGTTTTCACAGAGGCCAACCAGATTCCCATGGGAAGCCAGAACAGGCATGCCTCTAGATGCCAGTTTCTGGGAATATCAAATGGGAAGAGTGTTATTGTGATCAAACCCTGCTTTCAGGCTTCCCATAAGCCTCTGGTTGGCCACTGTGAGAACAGAATGCTGGACTCAATGGGCCACTGGCCTACACCAGGAGCACTTTCCTTGTGTCCCCCAACTCTGATTGCCAGCAACTTTTATTCAAATGACAGCCATGCCATTATGAAGAGTGATGCAGTATTGGAGACAGGGCAATGTGTGCTCCATGGCCTGGCCTGCACCTCCTAAGATAGCATAAGATAATCATACTACCAGTAAGATTCAACTATCAGTTTGGTCAGGTTTTTTTACATGGAGTAGGAAGAGACCATCGGTGCCAGTCAGGCCCCCTCAAAATTTAGATGGCATTTGGCTCCACCCCCGGCTCCTCGTGTTGTTGTGTGATATCAGGATATTGTGTTGGCCCCTCTCAATCATCTTGAGAAGTTGGCACCACTGGAGGGGACACTGTCTTTTCTTTCCCACTAGACCAGTGGTTCTCAACCTGTGGGTCCCCAGAAGTTGTTGGACTACAACTCCCATCATCCCTGAGCTCTGGCCTTGCTAGCTAGGGGTGATGGGAGTTGTAGTTCAACAACATCTGGGGACCCACAGGTTGAGAAAGGCTGATCTAGACAGTAAAATGTCTTGGGCTGGCCTAGTACTTAGGTCTGGTTACAGTCACTTCTGTTCTACTGTAACTTAATTTTTTTGGTTTTGGCCCAAATGGTGTATTCACCCTTGGGCAACACTCCATATACCAGTGGTGGGTATAACCACCACACACTCTTGCATTCACACACGCTAACACAGATAGAGGGCATACAGGTCATCCTCCTCCTTAGCTGATCTGTGCAGATAGGAGGCAATTTGCATCCCTATCAGGGATAGGAAAGTAGGAAAGGGACAACTGTATTCTCAACAGGGCCTGGGCTGGTTGGAGAGATTTAACCATGTCCATCTACTCTGGTGCTAATTTCTTTGCTCCACAGCTGCCAAAATTAGTGGAGTCTTTGGGCCCCATGGCTGGAGGTTAGCCACTTCTTCATTAGAGCATGGGAACTTGAGGGAGTAGGTACAAAAGGTGGAATCTGAGAAGGTCTTTGAAGGAAGCATAAGGGGAAGGGCATTTGCTTTGCATGCAAAAAGTCCCAGGTTTGGTGTGTGGCATCTCCTGGGTAGTGTCTAAAACACTAGGAATCTGTTGCCGGTCAGTGTAGACCAGTGTTCCCCAACCTTGGGCCTCCAGCTGTTTCTGGACTACAACTCCCATCATCCCTCGCTAGCAAGACCAGTGGTGAAGGATGATGGGAATTGTAGTCCAAAAACAGCTGGAGGCCCAAGGTTGGGGAACACTGGTGTAGACCAATGTAGTTCTCTACAGATGTGGATGGATTACATCTTTCATTATTCCTGACCATTGCACATGCTAGGTGGGACTGATGGGAATTGAAGGGCATTGTGGTAGCTACTCCTGATATAAGAGGTACAAGAGCAAGCTAGACAGGCAAATGATCTAGCTTAATAGAAGGCAACTTCTTGTGTTTCCAGGGGGCATCAAGCAGATTTTGTAGGAGATAATTCCAGGGCATGCTGTGTTGTGACCATGCACAATATTAAAAAAAATAATTGATCCTAAATCCTAAAATGACAAGAGTTTTGTAGGCTTCTTGAATACATGAGTGCATTCCTCATGAAGAGGTCATAGACAGCAGATTTGTTTTGGAGGCAGAAAGAAAAGTAAAATGAGTCTACTGAAACTATTCAAAGACTGCTTGCATGCCTCCCCCACCTGGCTTTAACCTTTCACATTTTACTTTCTTCTTATGACTTTATCTCCCTGAGATTTATTTTAACATAATAGCCCTTTAAGCAGCTACAGACTGCTGCCTTAAATAACATACACATCTGAACACACAATAGGGAAAGAATTTTCACCCCCTTTCAAAAATCCATTATATTGACACTCTTTTATCACCAATGGCACACACCTGATTTTTGTGGCACCACCTGGAGCTGGAGGCATCTTTTTTCAAACCCCAGTGGCACACCAGTGATGAAACAGTCAGGTCTAGACATAGCATAATGAAGTAAACCCATTCCTGCTCAGGAACAGCCAAATTTAGAGATTGAGCTCATGACAGAATCTGGATGTCCTGAAGTTTTATTAACATTAATCTAGGATGACTCATTGCACCCTGTCCAAGTCTGGCAGCAAAGAAAACAAGTATTGCCACCAATGGGGTGGGGAGTGAGGGCCTCTGTCTCTATCCCTCTCCCCCATCACTATAAGCTAAAACAACAGCAACCAAGCATAGCATTTGGGTAGCTTTAAAAAGGAAGGAAGGAGTTATACAGTGACAGGCAAAAAGACCTTATAGAGCTGAGGGAAGTCATTGGCTGACATTGGTCATAACCAGGGGTAGGCAGCCTAAGGCCCGGGGGCCAGATGCGGCCCAATCACCTTCTCAATCTGGCCCGTGGACAGTCTGGGAATCAGCGTGTTTTTACATGAGTAGGATGTGTGCTTTTATTTAAAATGCATCTCTGGGTTATTTGTGGGGCCTGCCTGGTGTTTTTAAATGAGTAGGATGTGTGCTTTTATTTAAAATGCATCTCTGGGTTATTTGTGGGGCATAGGAATTTGTTCATTCCCCCCCCCAAAAAAAAAATATAGTCCGGCCCACCACATGGTCTTAGGGACGGTGAACCGGCTCATGGCTGAAAAAGGTTGCTGACCCCTGGTCATAAGGCTTCTGGCAAGAATGAGCAGTAGCAGCTTATTCTAATGAGGGCAGCAATAACAATTAAGCTACTTTGGGCCAACCTGAACCGCCGTATTTTTCCATGTATAAGACGCCCCCATGTATAAGATGACCCCTATTTTTTTTTAACCCAAAATTAAGAAAACGAAACCCTAAAATAGAAGTGAAAATCTGGATGATTGGTGGCAGAAAGTTGTTGATCTTTTTGGGGGCGATCGCCCTCAAAGCTTCCAGCATGAGGTGCATGCAGTGCACCATGGTGCAGAAGCAAAGGCAGCGACTGGGGCACCACATGCTCCCCCTCAGTGGCAGCTGCTGCTGCGGGGAAGCAGGCTCCCAAGCATGATGCCAAGGAAGACTCTGTGGATCCCTAAGTGTGCCTATGTCGGTTGGCATTAGTCACTGTGATGTTTGGGCTGAAGAAAGCTTATGAAGTTCCTGAACGATCGACCAGGAGGGAGGGAACATGCCAGTTGGGCATATGTCTCTGCCAGGGCCCTGCTCAAGTGTAGGCTGAACTCCTGACAGTTCCATGTACAAGACGACCCCCAATTTTTTACTAATTTTTTAAAGCAAAAAAACCTTGTCGTATACACGGAAAAATACAGTAAACATCAGGCTTGCTGCTTTATTAATTTTTTTAATTGTAGTTCCATTAAGGGAAAATGAGGTATAAACATTTTAAATGAATATGCAAGCTCCTCAGACATATCAAACGTGTGCTTCCAATGTCTGTAGCTATTTGTTAATAAGATTGCCCCCCCACACCATTGTGTTAAGATTTAAAATATACACCTAGAAGGTTTTCCTCAAAGCTTACTTCTCTTGTTAGATCCATCTGTTATATGCAGCTAAAAGAGACAGATGTTCATATACTGAAAATTTGAAAAGGCATGATTGTGCTAGCAGAATCCACCCCTGACTTCCACCTTGACAAAGTGCCTGGACCATCCAAGTGCAAGTCATTGTATCAGTTAAACTCATGATACTTCCATTTGCAGGCTCCTCAGTTTTCTCAGGCAAAGCCTATGTGAATACACCTACACAGGCTCAAGACTCTAGGCACACCATCATCCAAATGGATGGAGATTGGGGCTATGTGTCAGGAGCTCATCCTACGCTCAAGTAGGACCCTGGCAGAGACACATGCCTGACTGGTATGTTCCCTCCCTCCTGGTCGATCATTCAGGAGTTTCAAAAGCTTTCGTCTGCCTGAACATCACAGCGACTGATGCCAACAGACATCGGCACACTTAGGGATCCACAGAGTCTTCGCAGCTTGCATAACAGACCTCAGCAACTCAGCATTTTGGCTAATCTACTTTATTTACATATAAACACACACGGAGCACTGCAACATGACTCCCTCTCTCTCTACCATCAGACAGCAAAGAGAAAAAACAAAGGACAATAGTCCCACTTCACAGAACTCAGTAACACAAACATCCTGTCTCCGTCATTTCCCACTTTGTGGAGTCAAAACATACACCGTCATGTGATAGACAAAAAACCCATGACTGCAATCATGGAGCAGGAATTCTACCACTATGGACAGTTGATGCAATCTCATGCCTCAATCCAATCCACATGTTCACTTAGCATCTTGAGTGACCTTCTAATGTATCAGAGTAAAAGTGTCAGCAAGAAGATCAAAAGAGAATTTTTTATGTGGTATCTGGATGAATCTGGATGTGGAATCTGGTCAGCTGGATGAAATAGAAACTTCACAAGTTTTGGTGACTGGAGCTGTAGGCAGTGAGTGGGACAGAAATAAGACAGGAGAAAAGGCTTGGTGGAATGGTGGCCAAGGGGTATCACTCTCCTTCCAGAGGCAAAGTGGATGGGGAAAAGGATGCAGAGTAAGGATGCTTCCAGATTGTTGCTATTTTGACTGGAATTCAGTCATATTCTGGCAAATTCAAGTTGTGGTATTCTCGTTAATTCGGAGGTCTTTGTGCAAGAAAACCTGCTTCCCCAAAACTCTCTGTGTTAAAGAAAATGGCAGGAAAACACCCTGGAAATGGTGGGATAACACTAGTTTTGACACAATGTGCTCTAACCTCCCTGCAAACAAATTGGGATGAATGATCAATAAAGTGATAATTTGGAGGTGCCCTATGAGGTAGGATGAGCATAAAGGAAGAAAATAGGCATGTGGAAATGGGGTTGCGAGAGGCCAGCTGTAATGAAAATTTTTAGACCATGCATACTTGCCCAAAGCAGTGATATAAACCAACTCTGTGCAGTCCAATTTTGATTTAGATAAGTTTACATCTTCTGCTAATTGATTCCTTTGTCTACTATTGCTATGCTAAAATTGCAATCAAATCTGGAATGGGATAATCCAACTAATGGGTTATTTTAAACCCACAGCTCACAATGAGCGATTTCTCTGCTATACTTGCATTGCAGCAATGTATTCCTGTTGCAATTAGCAAGAAGCATGGGTTCGTATACTGCATATTAGTTTGGGCTGATTAACATAACTCAATTTTTTAAAGCTAATCAGTTCAAATTGCATATTGAAATCTTATTTAATGCCATGCTCAAATACTGTAATAATGGCTATGATACAAGAACCTCAATAGAACTGATGAGAGTACAACTGAATGCGGTACAAAATTAATTTAGCATATTCATTTTGCATTGGATACTAATTATACATATACTAATCTAGAAGAGAATCAAAAGCATTGCTAAATAGGGATAGCTGGATTGGTCTGCTTCTGTTCTTTGTCAATTTCACATATATTCATTCATAAGTGAATTATTCTCTCCTGTTTTTTGCACAAAAATGCAAGGTTTTTTTTATTAAAAAAATCCACAGAACAACACATATTTAACCGCATATTTAAATTTGTACTTTATCATGTGTATATTTCTGAATGCACTATAAACTAAAACATGTTTCAATATGTTTGGGCTTCCCTTTTAGCCAATAACTATATCACAATTAGGATGGGGAAGAAATTCAAATTACATTTAAAGGCAAACTTTCTAATTTGCCCTTTCCAAAATAATATTCAAATCATACTGTGTTTACTATTAGTAAATGGTTTTGAGAATCATAGTAGTGCTAAAGAATAAAAAATGAGTGCAATGCAATCCTATATAATATGTTTACCCAGATGTAAATCACACCAAGTTCAGCAGGAACTTACATTCTTGTGAGTCTGCATTGGATTTCAGCCTTGACACAACATTTGACTCAATGAATAATTGAAAGTATTCCCAAACTATGACTATCAAAAGGACTCTACTATATTTTAAGCATTTTGCCATTCTCTTATCCAGTTAGTGTGCATACACATGGGGAAGCAGATCTCCACAAATCTGTCTGTTGTTGAATGGGGAACTCTGTGTAAACATGGCTATTGTGTTTTTTGGTTCTTTCCTTGTTCTTGCTGCCAGATGCATGCATGTAATTCTTCAAAAAACTGAAATGATTACTGCTATGTTGTGCTACATTCATGTGCCTTTGAGTAGACATTGAATCTGTTTGCTTGTCTCCACCTGCTTTTAATTAATGGGCTTATGTACAAGGGTTTCAAATGATTTGAGGTTGGCTTTCATATATCTTACCTCAACTATTCCTTACCTGATTATCACCTCTCATCATCAGCTATGCTGTTTGGGGTTGATATGAGTTAGACTTCAACAACATATGGAGGGCACCAGGTTGCCAAATTGCATCGCAACACCTGGGACTGAGCTCTGCTCTACACCCAACCCAATTCCTATTGAAAAGTCCATCAAAGCTGAGTCCATTTCATGTGAACAAAATAGCTGAGGAGAGCATGCTGAATATTTCACCATGATAGCTGGAAAAGAAGCAATGTGTATAACTGCAGTCTGGCCAAATTGCAGAGCTCTAGGATATTTTTGTTAGCTTCAGCAAAAAATCCCAAGAGCACCTCATAAATATTAGTGATGGGAGGGCCAAAGGAAACACCGTAAAACTGGAATTAGCATCCTAGCTTTCAGATTTATTTAAATTCATAATCAAAAGATCATAAAACTTGAGGCCATTTGTTTATCTGTAAAAATTGCTACATGTGGCAATTGCCTTGGAGTTGGAGGGTAATTATTTTTAATGATTTTAAGGGGCTCCAGTCTGCCTTCACTGAAGTCAGTGGTAAAGCACTCACTGGCTTCTCCAGGAAACGGAACAAGCTTTCTAATTATAAAGATAAATTTGCAGTAACACCTTGAAGAGCTTTCCTCAACCAAGAAAATTAAAGACAAGTTGGGAGTCATTTTTCTCTCTTTACTTCAAATTTCACTTGACATTTCAATTCCATTTCTGTATCGCATTGGCCTCCCATTTCAAATCTTGTCCAATAGCAAATACGTGAGAGCTTTTTCCAAGCACAGTCAAGACACATAGATGATTACCTTCTGGCACAAGCAATATTTAACCCACCAAAATGACTAATATAGCTGCCTTCAGGCTTAAATCAGAACAGTTATCCAGTGGTCAGCCTCCTACAGTATATGCTGAAGATTGCTGACTGTATCAGGCCCTTTTGAGGCTGGTGGTCTTTTCTTACCCCTGATCCAGGATCTGAAGTTCTTAACATCTAGCTAAATATCTGCATTATCTACTTCTCTATTTCCAACAGAAGCCAGTTCCGAGGCCTCATCATGTAGACCTTGGTGGCGATAGCCATTCTACACTATCTGGTAATCAGAGATATAATGGCTCTAGACATAAAGGTTCCTTCTCAGCTGTTATGACACCATCCGTGAATTTGCTGAACCTTTTAAAAAGCATTCTGTGTAATAAAATTGTTAAGTTGTCTATTACACAAAGAAGTACAGTGGTACCTTGGTTCTTGAACTTAATCCATTCCGGGAGTCCGTTTGACTCCCAAAACCATTCAGAAGCCAAGGTGTGGTTTCCGATTGGCTGCTGGAGCTTCTTGTACTCAATTGGAAGCAGTGGAAGCTGCGTCAGACATTTGGCTTCTGAAAAACGTTCGCAAACCAGAACACTTACTTCCGGGTTTGTGGCATTCAGGAGCCAATTTGTTTGGGAGCCAAGCCATTCGAGTACCAAGGTACCACTGTACATTCTTTTCATTGTTTGGTTCTTACCAATTTCCACAACTCCCCTCCCCCCTTTAATTATGAACTAGATTCTGCCAGACATAGACTGTAATCCTAAGTGCACTTACCCTGAGCTCAGTGGATTGAGCTGAGAAGCACTTTTACATCAAAAGGACAGACAATTTTGTGCTGGATTATTTGCTACTTGAAAAAAATATGAGAGTAAAACACACAAACACACCCATTGAACTCAGTTTGACTTGTGTCCAAACATGGACAAGTATTTTATTTTATTACCTGCACAGCATCTCTTTGGAAATCAAATGCATTCATTATGCATAATGACATGTGGATGGATGACTATTGTATAATGTCTGGGAATACCAAGAACCAGGTCTACAGAGAGGAAAATGAATCCTCTCCACCATATCTATCCCATTGTTTTAGCAGCCTGATTAAAAGAGTATTGTTAACAGGACAGTATGTTGGCCTGTCTCTACACACAACCCACCATCTCACTGGCAGTGTACTTCAAATCGGCTGTATTTTTGCCAAAATGCGATATGTGACTCCTGTGTTAAGTATGGTGATTAAAAATCCATCTTCCTTTCTCACACTGAATTGTGGAGGAAATCCACTTGGCTAATTGCAGTACTGATATATGTGACCTGGGGGTAGCCTTTATGTCTCCTCTGTCTCATTTCTGAAGATATAGGCATGTAAGCAGCTTAGGTTTAAGGATTTAGGGCTGCTGATGTTGCTTTATAGTTGCTCTTTAAGGTGACCCTCACTTTAAAAAAAAGGAAGACATTTGAATCTTCAAAAGGACGGTTTCTTAGACAAGTGTGACCCACCCCAACCCCCTTGGGCAGAGAAGTTTGGCTGTCTTCTTTTCCCAAGAGCTGGCCTTTGCTTCACATCAAAAATGAAGAATATTTCATAAAGTGCAGATCTATATAATTTTCATGCCAAAGCAGATGGTTTGCAAGGAAGGACAAATGTATTAGCATGTGGATGTTAAGCACAATATGTTGTCCATTCCACTTCACAGAGAGGTCCATGTGCCTCAGAAATCATCTTGATCTTTTAAAAGTATCCCACCGCGCTTGCTAGCTAAATGCTAGCTGACCCCTAGGACTAACTTGTGGTTATCATTCTTCTAACATACTTTCCTTCCCTTTTAAGAATATTAATTGATTAATTAGCCAAGGCAGACAGGTTTCAAGTAAGGATGAGGGAAAGATACACACATTCCAAACAAATGTTTCATATCTAATAATAATAATAAAGAGTTTGTTTCACAATAGCTCAGGTACTTTGCTTGAGAAAGACCCATCAAATTTGCTTCAGCTTTTGTCCTAAATAAACTCAACCAGGTGATAATGTGCAGACTTCCCTAAAAAGCTTCAGTTAGTGCAGAACACAGCAGCTGCAGTGCTGATGGGGCAAGTGGCTGACAGCATGTAACAGCTGTGCAAAAACATCTGCATTTCTGTTGGGTCAGGTTGAAGGTTCTTGTATTAATATGCAAAGTTTTGATCAACTTGGGTTCGGGATACCTTGAGGATCACCTGAGGCCTTATAATCCCACCTCAATTGCTGAGATGATCCACAGGAGTGCTGTCAAGTTTCCCCACTTGTTTCAGGAGCCTAACTTGCATCTACTAGAAGTCGGGCATTTAGTGTTGCCAGTCTCATGTTCTGGAGGAGAGATTTGGCAGGCATCCTTGCTGCTAATTTCCCAACATATCTTGAAGACTTTTTTAAAAATGCTACCAGGCCTGTTCAGTTGTTGAAACTATTTTGAGATGAGCCAGTCATTTCTGTGATTGCTTTGTATTGTTTTCATTGTATTTAATGATTTATTGTACTTGTAAAATTAGTTGTATAATGCCTTGGTATTTTGTAGGAGGGTGGTCTCTAAATAGGTTTATTAAATATATATATGTGGAAGTGGACCTATATGCCTCCCAGGGAAGTGTGAGGGACAATAGCATTTGTTATTGCTGTTAAAACACTGGCACTTAGGTAGGTCTCAACTATGTTTATCAGTTTACATTCCCTTTGTAAAAAACCATTGTTGCCTGCTATTGGTGAAAGCCAGAGAACACACTGGAATCTCTATTACAACAACAGGCACCTTACACCAAGACAAAAAGACTGCAGAAGATTCAGCCAGGAAATGTAAGAAACACAAGATCGGCTGCTTTGAACAAACTCTATTCCCCCTCCCTTTTAAAAATAAAGTGCTTGAGAGCTATTCCGTGTCCTTGAGAAGCTAGAAGGCAGTGGAGCAGCAGCTACAGTCAGCAAAATGAACCTAATACCCCATTCAGGGAACATTGTCTCTGCAAGGTAGTGGGTGACTCATTTCTCCCTTAAGGTTTCCAGAAATGCTTGCGAAGGGGCACTCTTCCCCCCCGCCCCCCGCCGCCATTGCCATTAAATAGTTTACAAGTTTTAAAAAAGTAGACTTTGGTAATGTCTACACAGGAACTGGGAAACTACAGTTGTGAGGAGAGACACTTTGGTTAATATAGGAAACCTTTTCTGATTTAATCCCAGGGCCCCATCTCTCTAGATTTCTTAGTGAGGAGATCCCAAAGGACATCAGACTAGGAAAACGATCTAATCCAGTTTACTGAAGAATTCATAGAGTTCCTCCAAAGGAGATGACACCCACCCCCACAATTTGCAATTCGGAGCCCAACATTTTCGCTGCCTCAGTTATTTTTGCCTACAACATGTATGCATAACCCTGCAGTCAAGTTCATGGTGCCGAGGCATAAACTGTTGGGAGAAATATGGCTAGAAATGCTTCAGTGGAGAAACTTGCACCAGTGGCTCATAACACCACTTTTTATTGGAGTAATAACATAAAATTATATCTCAATGGAAAGATGATTTAATGAAAAATGTAATGCAACAAAGTTTGTTCAATTATTGGTATTCTATCAGGAATTGCTGGATTAACAAATTGAATTGGAATACAAAAGAGGGAGGTATGAGGAGGTCTGGGAAACAAGTAAACGTAAAAGAAGTGATGAAAAGATGGAATTGTTTTTAACTGTTTTTTCTTTTTTGTATTTTGTATTTTTCCTTTTTATTGTTAATTTTCTTATTAATGAGACTTTTCTTCTTTTGAAATTTTAATAAATATTATTTTTTAAAAAAATTATCGGTATTTTATCAAAAGGTATAGCCAAATAAGCAGAAAAAGGAAGCACAACTTGCTTAGGTTGCTATGCAGTAACTTTCCTTCATTCGAATGTAGCCAATGAACAAGAGTGTTAAGAGAGCCAATCAGGTGTTATGAGCCATCAAACCTTGGAAATACACTTTCCCCAAAAGGTTTCCACAGTTTTGGCCACAAGTGTAACTGTGCTTCCCACCTCCCTCTCTCTTCCCCCTCTTATATGAAGACCATGGGCCTAGGGTCATTTTGTTTGCTATCTCCAGTACCTTTTCCAGTACTGTGTCACTCCTTTTCAGATGGGGTCAACAGAAGTCTGTACTTAGTATCCTAACTGTAGGCCACTATAAGCCCTAAGTCATGGGTAGGCAAACCAAGGCCCAGGGGCTGGATCTGGCCCAATCACCTTCTAAATCTGGCCCACGGACGGTCCGGGAATCAGCGTGTTTTTACATGAGTAGAATGTGTGCTTTTATTTAAAATGCATCTCTGGGTTATTTGTGGGGCATAGGAATTCGTTCTTTTTCCCCCCATAAAAAACACCATTCTAAACGCTATTCCACAATTTGCTATTATATAAAGTATCTGTTGCAAAATTAATATATGCAAACACATGCTTAAAAGCAACTATCTATAAAAGTGATGTTTGCAAAGAAAGGCATAGTTGGGATTCTTTAAATTCTATCTTCTCACATGGAAAGCAAATTGCCATCTCCCTCTAATCTTTATCTCCCATTTGCACAGAATATCAGGCCCTAACAGTTAATTTTCTTCATTGATACAACACAACTATGTTGCATCAATGAACTCATTTAACTGTTAGGGGCTGAGATTCTGTGTGAACGGGAGATAAAGATGAGGGCTGAACTGAATGTTATCTGGTGAACAATTATGTCATGCAAAAGATCCTATTTGGGGGTGGGGTATGAGCAGAAATATTTACTGAAGCATTACTAAAAATCTTATCATTTGCTTCTATAGGTCGTAGTGTAAATACGCTACTAGAGAGTAAGGTCCATTGAGCTCTCTGGGACTCACTTGCAAGTAGGAATATTCTGTTGACATATTTGAAATGAACCAGCCTGATTTGTACTTCTCAGACTAATATGTGGATTGGAACACAAGTGTCCTTCATTTTCCCACTTTTCTGAATTTAGTAATACATTTCTTGACTCAGAAATATACCAAAATACATACAATAATCCATGTTTCAATGTGTATTTAAAATGTGAAAATGCGTATAAAATGTGTATCCTGCGGTAAATGTGTAGGAAAAATGCATATTTTGTGTGTGTGTGGGGGGGAAATGCTTAATAAGATGTCTGTGTGTCTCTCTGTGTGTTTGGGTGGAAGTGTCCTATGAGCAAAGACATATGAAATGGATGCAGACTGGAGATAGGCTGAACCTAGAAAATTGCACCGCAGTAAATGTTGGAGTTAAATCCTAAATTCCAAATTTTGGTGAATATCAGCATTTAGTCAGCTGAATTTGGGGAAGGTCCAAAAGCATAGCTACAACAGCAAATACGGGCAGCCACCTTGACAGAATCCCCTGATGTTTGTTCTCTGAAATGGGTAAATATACGTCTGTTTTCAGATATTCACAATGTTTCTCTGGAAATTTCAGCAACCAAAGACGAATTATCTACATTCTATAGCATTCTGGAAAGGCAAAATACTGCCCAAAGTTTTGTTACTGATGAAGTTCAGTGGGAGTGGCATTTCACCAAATGGTCAGGGCTTTAATACTGTTAAACCAGGAAAGCAGCGATATCATGAACTTTGAATAAATAAACAAATCTCAGAGTACTTAATACTAGGGCTTAAACAATACATTTTACACCCTCTCAGGTGCTCCATATAAAGGAGATGCCAGGTATGTGTTTGCCAATGAAAGGTAGCCATTACAAGGGGAGGAAAAGGGTAATTGCTTTTCTACTGCATCCCAATTTGACACACTGCACAGTTTAGAAAAGGGAAGCAGAAAAAAAGAGGACAGTGCAATCAGTTGGCACCACAGGGGGGAAATTAATAGAGAGGGTGTTTAATTACCTGACTTGGAATTTGGCAAGAGTGTGAGGGTTGACACTCCTGCTCTTAAGAAAAGTGTTATGGGAGTTTAATTATCACAAGCCATCAGGGGCTTGGTTTTATGTCTTCAGAAATGGCAGGGGCCGCAGCACAGTGACACATTGCTTCAATACTCGCTCGCAGGGGGAGGGCAGTAACGAAGAGCCGCCCCTTCCCAAGGGTGAGCGCTTTTTGCAGTGTAAAGAGTTAAAAGGACATCTCTTTCCACTGTGAGTTTCCCCCTAAGCCTGCTCAGCTGGCAAAATCAAAGCACACTTAGTGGCGTGGTACCCAGAGAGAACTACCAGGCAAGTCTGTTTTCATTAGTGAGGGGCAAAGGCATGAACTGAAGTCCTTGAAACTTTCCCCCCTCTCGTCGTATGCAAAACAAACAACAGGGACAGAACCCGTTGTATGGTGGTGAGAATGCCCGACCATGAAGCTGGCTGGCTGGGTGATGCTGGGCCCGTCAGAACTCTGAAACCAACCTGGCTCACAGGATGGTGAGAGGGCAAAATGAGGTGGGGAAGGCAGTGCATGCTATCTGGAGATCCTTGAAGGAAAGGGAGGCTTTAAATAAATAAATCGCCTATTCCCACTTTACAAATGAAATGCACAAATCCGACTGGGAAAAACTCATCTGCACAGCCCACTAAAGCCCCTGCTCCACAGATAAATATGTGGAGAGGCTTTATCAAGAACTAATTTGACTCGCCTTTTTCTTTTTATATGTGATCATTGTATGCGGCATTGCGTTCTCAGCTCTCTCCTGGTTCCCCCCTCCCCTCTGTATTCTCATTTTGATTTCTGGTTTTTGTTTTTATTGGTTACATTCTTTAGTCTTACTGCATTTGTATGTGCTTATGTCAGTAACCATACTGTATGAAGAATGACCATCATCACCATCATCATAAAGTTTATTATTATTATTATTATTATTATTAAAAAATGAAACAAAACCTGTGAAGGAGGGCCAATTGAAAAGAGCCAGAAAAAAGTATCATTATAGACAAACCCTCATATTTCCTCCAGCTACTCAAGGTTTTCATCTTTTGGCCAAGGGCTGGACTAGACATAACACTAAACCAGAGGTAGCCAATGTAGCATCCTTCAGATGATGTTGGACTACAACTCATCCCATGCTCTTTAGGGCTGATGGGGGTTAAAGTCCAACAATATCTGGAGAACACTATGTTGGCTACCCTAGTGCTAAACACACCTTTATCAGTAATAGCAAGAAATAGAGGGAGTTTTCATGGAACCATGGCATGTTAGGAGTATAATCCTGGTGAAAATCCTGGGTTCCCAGCACGCTGCTGTTATCTCTGGAAGTAAAGCTCTGCATTGCACTAATGTGGTACAAATCAGAGGGTGGAGTCTTTCACCAGGACAGAGGTAGGAACACTTTTCAAACCACATTCCCTTATGGAACCTGTAGTGAAATGGGAATGAGCCATCCCATGCCCTCCTGTCGTCCAGCCCCTCACTTCCACTGGCACCAGAGCATCCCCCTCTCACCAAACTCAGCAAGAACCAGGGTGTTCTGCAAGGCATTGCCGCTCGTCTTTCCTACCCCAGGGGTGGGAAAGATAAGCAGCAACACTGCACTCCAGAACGCCTCCTTGTTGCCAGCAAGAGAAGGGTGTTCCGGTGGCGGCAGAAGTGGTGGGGCAGGCTGGGCGCCTCCTCTTGCACTTCCATCCTCATGGGTGGGCTGCCTCTGGATCTTTGTACATATGCTAGATTTCAGCCATGCAGTAGTAGCCAGAGGGTTCTACAGACACTCATTCAGCTCTCTGTCCATAGAGGCAAGAGGCTTTGTCATAGTGCAAGGACACATCCCAGCCAGACAAAAATACCTGGGGACAGGGTAGAATAGGACTAGAGAATTGTATGGCCTGGGGAGACCAGGGGCCTGTGAGTTCCAAGAGCCAAATAGAAATGCTCCAGAGGTTCTCCATCCTAGTCTGACGTTCTCCACCTTGCACTACAATGCTGCCCTCAAATACATGGACATTTGATAAGATTTGACTGACTGAAGATGGGTTGGGTTCTGCCTTTAAGCTACGTGTAAAGCAGTCCTGAGTCATATTTGCTCACAGAAGAGGAATGGCAACACCCAGAACAGAGGTATGACACTCTGAAGTGGCCAACTCTTAAAAGCTGACAAGGGCTGTCAAGGTGTCAGAATGAGAGAAAAGCCTGCACAATTAAGCTAACTCATAATGCATTCTCTTGAGAGGAAAAATGTGACGAATTTGTTTGGGGGCAATTGTGTTTAATAAATAGATGTGTCACTTGCTGCATAGTTACTTTCTAAAGCACCCCATTAAAGCATACTAAAGGCCAAAACCTCTCATACCCCCTGTCACATTAAGCAACATGCAGCCATTACTTCATATTTCAGGCAATTTTATTGTCTGTGATAGCACTTAGAATGGGGGAATGAAATGGGTTTCTCAGCAGTGCACTGCACAGTTTTCATTGCAGACATCATCAGAGCCGCCTGCTCACAAAGACAACCATTATTTTATATTTCTACTGTTTCTCCTACAAAACACACGCACACAATACAAAATTGATCCAAATTGCTGACTTCAAAATCTGTTCACTTTGTAACAGTAGGAGCAGCAGTTTTCTTCCCACTCGAAATGGTCCAGATCTTTTCTCCCTTACCATGTCATCTTTGCCTTAAACTCCTTCCAACGTTTGTATGTGTTCAGTAAATTATTAACACAAAGCATCCTTTGTGTCATTTAGTCATCCTGAGAACATAATGCCATATAACAGATACGAGCCTTATGCTGCACTGTAGCAAATGTACTGTATGATCTCGATATCTCATTTGAAAATACAGGAAACTTTAAGTGAGTTTACTAATAAAGTTTGTTCTTGCATCCTAAACGAAGAAGTTCATCTTACTCTACTGCTCAGGTAAGAATGTAAGCTAACAAAAAACACTAATCTGTGACTTTCAAAGGCATTTTCCCCCTTTTTTGTTTTGTTTTTAAGAATGTGCAAAATCTCTTTGATAAATGTTGCTAGACTTATTATTATTATTTAATAAATTTCTATACCACCCTTCATCCAAGGATCACATGACGGTTGAAATTCTTCAGACTTCCCCTTAGATCTTAAGTTGTTTTGCCCAGGCAGGATCTGTCAGGCTTACGACTCCAATTTTGCCTTACACGGAATTCAGTGGCACTCAAGAGAGGTCCAAATAAATCACAGGCAACTTCTGCTAGTCTTATCAGAACTCATTCAGCCTCACTCAAAACTCCATGGATAGATTTTGGGAACACAAATTAGACTCTAAATTGGCCCACACTTTCACTTCAAGCAAAAGTCTAATCACATTCCTGTGGCACATCAAATTCCAGGTGTGATTTGCAAGGAAGCTTGTTGAATCATGGAGGCAAAATTGGAAGAGAAAAAAAAATCATAAAGATAATCAAGAGAATGGTATGACCCACAAATGGAAAGCTTCTTCTCTGGGTTTGCAAGTTCTGAGCTAGCCCCAGAGCCTATCTGCAGCTCTCTCTAGCCCTTTATATGAATGGAAGAAGAAGAAGAAACTGGGACGTCAACAACCAGTGATCATAAACACATCCACGTCTCTACAATATTGTACCTTATAATGGATTTTAACTACATACTGCTTTAGGAATGAGACTTGGCTAAAACACAAAGTATAAAAAAGGGTTGTATCTAAGTCATATTCAGAGTAGACCCACTGAAATCAATGGGTGGAATCTAAAGTTGTATGAGTGAGCTTCCAGTTCTACAATGGCATTTCGCCTTCCTCTTCTCTCTCCTGAAGCCCACACCTACAAATCAGTTCGAGAGGGTCACAGAACCCTCTGGAGCAGTTTATGAAGGTGCACAGGATGTTGAAGGAGGTAAAGTCCCATTGCGCTAGTAGAAATCCATTTCATTTACTCACAGGCAGCACTGGCCACAACCACCAAAGTCCATTGACTTAAATTAGTCTACGCTTAGTAAGACTTTGCGGTGGGATGGAGCTCATCTTCTGGCCCTTTGTTGTTATGATATTTGTCACATGTTCTAGACCTGACTACCCTCTCCCTGGAAAAGTGAGCTTCAGGATTAACCCTGGCTTAAAACATGCCGATGTATGGAAAACTTATGCCAACCGTGAAAAAAGTCTGGTGAAAAAAGAGTAAACATTGCTATTCTCGCTATTGCTCTGTGATGCTGTTTTATTGTTTTAATGAAATGATTGTTGTTTTCAATTGCTGCTTTTGATTTTAGCTGCTCCATTAGAGTTGAAGAGAGGGGTAGACATGCTTGCAAATCAACCCATCAATCAATAGCTGTTGCTTCTGATTCTTCAGCAAATTTTACTATCGTATTTCCATCTCTAAAACTGCAAGGGGCAGTACTTCTGTTTTTGAAATGAAAATCCTAACAAGGGCCTTCAGTTGATGAGAAAAGCACCATGGGAGATTTATGCATTCTCACAAAGTGTATAGTGCAGGCTTCCTCAACCTTGGCCCTCCAGACGTTTTGAGACTACAATTCTCATCATCTATGACCACTGGTCCTGCTAGCTAGGGATCATGGGAGTTGTAGGCCAAAAACATCTGGAGGGCTGAGGTTGAGGAAGCCTGGTATAGTTTATGTTCCCTGAACCACAATTGCAAGTGGTTCACTAATTCACCTAATCTGGTGTGGACAGATTCACCTAATCCATTGTCCCTTTGTGCGTTTGGAGTTCGCATATCCATTGAAGTGAATGAGGGAAAGCATTGTACGGAGCGGAGTGCTTGCATACGTAGAAAGCTCCTGTGTCTGCGCTGAATCACTTGATTGGGCTGCAAGTATGTTGATTGTCATTCATAGGCAACACCAAGCATTAGTCAAAAAGAAGGACTAATAGCTAATCGCTTTTAAAATAGGAGCTGGAAATTCTGTTCAGGCTAATTTCCTTCATTCCACTGCTTCTCATGTCAATACATCCTGTGGGATTGCAGTGGTCGACAGTGCTGGCTTATATTTGCAATACCAACATTTCAGAAGAGCCGTTTGCCAGCATACGCTCAGAGATGACTCAGGCTGGCCGTTGCACAGCCGCTGGGCATTTTAATGTAGCAGCATTAATCATTAATGACCTGGAATTAATATTATTCTTTATTATTCATTATTTGTAATGCAGAGGTGCCTAGGAGGCCCGGTCAGATCTAATTGAGGCTGAGAGAACAAAGGGATGGTGTAACACAGAGGCAGAAGAAAGGCAAAGATAATAGAGGCAGGAAGCTATGTCAGCTTCTATTATTCATGTGCAAAGAGGTTGCAGGACTCCGTACAGGATTTCTCGCAGGCCGAAGTGTAAGTAGAAAGTTCAAGCTTCTACATTCCAAAGGAATCAAAATTCAGAGCCCACTGTTGCAACCCCCAAGCTGTATTTTTCTCGATAAGGAGTTTGAAGATTCTTGGTAATGGCTGTGGTCCTCAAGCAGCCTTGTGAATTTTAATCAGAACTCAGCAGGCACAGAACGTATGCTTAGTGCTCTGGCCCAGCCCTTGGGATTGTGTCATCCTAATATAATAGTGTCTAAAACATAATCAGACTATTCAGCATGAGGGACAAAGGCAAAAGACACGAGGCAAATGTATGTGGGATGCATTATTAATAATGCAACTGCAAACCTGCAACAGGCATCACCTGGTCTATGCCTTCTAGGGATGTAAGAAGGCAGTTATCTCCATTCCAACGTGTATTCATCGCAATCAGAGCTGTTTCTGTTCTGCTGCACTTTGGCTTCCACATAAATCTAGATGATTTGTCTCCTTGTCAGCTCTCACTGAATTCAATGCAATTAATTACAGTGGTACCTCGGGCTACAGGCGCTTCAGGTTACAGACACTAACCCAGAAATAGTACCTCTGGTTAAGAACTTTGCTTCAGGATGAGAACAGAAATCACATGGTGGTGGTGCAGCAGCAGCGGGAGGCCCCATTAGTTGAAATGGTACCTCAGGTTAAGAACAGTTTCAGGTTAAGAACGAACCTCCAGAACGAATTAAGTTCTTAACCCATGGTACCACTGTATGTCATTAATTACATTATTTCAATGCGAAGAAAACATCGGAAAAATGAGGCAAGGGAATGCCATTATTTACATATCTTTTGTGGATGAAAAACAGCAGCTACAAAGAACACTAATTATATCTGTTTACCTGATTTCTGTTCCTGACCTCAAACCAACGTGCAAGCTGCAGAAATTTCTGCTTCCATGTCCACTTAGAGCAGAATTCCCTGCCACCCCTAATGCCTGCCTCCCCTAGCAGTGTGGGTACCACTTCTAAGCAGAAACCTTACATCCTATTGTCATCCTTGTTGGGCAACATGGATCAAATTAGGCACAGTCTGTCCTCTGCTTCACCTGAACAAGACCCTGTATAAGAGTTGAGGAAGCTAATGGCAACCACGCTCTTCAAGCCTCTGAGGAACACATGGTTTGCCATTGCCCAAGAGAGGTCCTTTCTCCATGACCTCACACTGGCCAGTCTTGGCGCATCAGTTGGATGAATGCTCCCTTCACCACTATACTGTTTCAGGATGTTCACCTTGAGACAGACCAGGAAGATCGATGAGACCCAATGTCAAGTTTCACTCATTTAAGAAGGTACCTAAATGTTTGGGCCTGCCACTGTATCTCACAATATTTTTATGAGGGTGTGGGGAATGCAGACTGAGGGATTGACCTTATCGTTGTGCTCCTCAGAAGGAGGATGGGTGGCTGGGAAAGAAGTAATAAATGAATGTAGGTTTCACAATACTCAATACTCAAAGAGACCAATGCAGCTACTCTGTAAAATAATACCCAAATAGCAATGCCTAAAACATAGGTCCAGGATAGAATGGCTGAAAGAAAAAGGAGAGAATCCAATACAGCACTAAGAAGAATGTTCTGTCAGCAGAAGTTTCTGCTTGTGCAACAGAATGTCCCCCCTCCTCTACCCATGTTTACCAAATCTGTCATAGAGGTTGTCCCCAACCCTCTGGAGTAGATTTGGAGAGTGTGTGGAGTACACGTGGGGGAAGGAGAGAGGGGAAGTCCCATTCTGCAAGCAGAAATCCATACACTGACAGGACTCATCTTTTTTTTTTTAAAAAAGCTATTTATTGAAAAAAGAGTTTTTTAAAAAAATTACACAAAAGAAAAAACAAGACAGAAAAATAAAACTAAAACTAAAAAAAATAAAACCATCATTCTCCAATTCTCCACTTTCAATACCTTCTTTCCTTGACCTCCTCCTCCTCCCTTTTCCTGTATCCTGTTTTATAATAATCACAGCAAATCCTTTCCATAATTCATAGTATTCTGTCATCACATTACCTTGATCTATTTTCATCTTATCTTATAGAAAACCTTAAAGTTTAAAACTTAAATCTTAATTTTTACCAACTTCTCCTAAACCATAACATTCTTACCTAGTTCTTTAGACATTTTATAAGAGCCAAATAGTTTCATTTCAACATTTTCCTAACATTCATCAATTTTATATAACAGTCCTAATGATAAGAATAAAAGAAAAAAGCAATCCAGTCTTCATCCAACGTCCCTTCCTCCTGGTCCCGGGTTTTGTCAGTCCTTTTTATCCTATTAATCTAGCACATTAACCTGGCAATCTTATATCCGAGGCCCTCAAGTCTCTTCCATGTCCCTTTCGTAACTCTTCTTTATATTTCCCTTTTATTCGTGGGAACTCCAGCTTGGTAGTGTTTTTGACCCTTTTCAGCAAGACGATCCCTTTTCCATAGTCCAGGATAGGCTCGATGTAGTATTTACAAGCATGCTCCAGATTCCCTTCAAAATTGAGAGCCCCCACAGCTCCAAACATCTGACGGCCCCTTTCCAGACTTGAAAAGTCCAAATCTCCCTGTAAAGGGGGGTCTATCCAACCCCCCATTTCCAAACCAAACCAGATTTTATCTTTCCAAGTCTGATTTTTTCCAAGTTCATTTATCAAATCCAAGAGTTTATATTCCTGCTGGGCCGCAGCTCCCTCCGTCTCTGGCGCCCAAGATTCAGCAAGGTCCTCTTCTTTCAGTTGTTCTGTCATGGCACGCTCCTGTTTTGATTCCTGGGTGGGCTCCATATAGTTTCCCACTACCTGTTCAAAGGTTCTGGCCGCATTAGTCATGAAATCCGTCTTCTGACTTAACTGATCCAATAGGGCATTTATTTTACAGAAAGCACCCAACAGTGCTTCTGAAGACATTGTCCTACAAGGTCACAAATCCTTTCCCACAGTTGTAATCAGTGACAGCTGCAAGTTCCCAGGAATTAGTTACAATTTCACAGTTCCCCACTAGGGGGAAAAACTTCTGATTGTTCTTTTTCTTGAAAACAATAGCAACAAAGTTTCTTTTTTAAGATATTTTGTCCATATTTGTTCTTTTAAAAGACGAAGGAAACAATGGAGTCACAATGTTTCTCTTCTTTTAACTATCTGTCAAAGACATTTGTTTCTGGTCAATGAGCTTCAAACGTCAATTCTGACACCCCGCTCCAGGGTCAGGACGGTGGAAAATTACTTTGCTTTAGATTCACTTCTGCAGGTTTAAGCAGCTCAGAAAAGGTCCCCCTTCTTCCCCTGCTACCGAAGGGGGGTTCAGCGATTTTAAATGATGAAAGTTGATCCTTTAAAAGTGATTTTTAAGGCTCTAGTTTGCGTTGTCTTTGCTTTGTTCTGACTACGAGGAAACGGAAGGGTGACTTCCTGTTTAAACCTTCCCGTTTCAGTACCAAATTAGGGTTAATTTTTAAGTCCAAATTCCTTTTATTTCGCCAGTTCTTATTTGAAGTCCAAATAGTCAATGTTCCAGTACTCACGGTTGGTTGTTTTAAATGCCAAATTGTCCCAGGAAAAAGGCAGCGCTCTCCGGCAACGACTATGAGGCTTCGCTCCGCAGAAAAAGCAATTGACTCACAGCACCGCGCCACTTCCCCCTCTTCACTTCGGAGCCCGTTTGTGGGTTCCTTTGTGGGTTGGGGGGCGCTAAGGGTGCCCGCCGAGTCCCACGGTCACAGGCTTCATCCGCCTGTGATTTCCAGAAGGGTCCCCACTACGCCACAGCGGAAAGACCCGTTTCATGCGGAGCTAGTCCCTCCAATTCAGAGGGAGTCCGCCATTGCCGGTGGCGCCACCCCGGAAGTCCTGACAGGACTCATCATTAGAGGATCACCCACAGTCGTGAACCATTGTGCTGTGAGATCCCCAAATTCCCATGAGAGACTTGAATGATTAATCAGGAACACAGAACAACCTGAATGCCTCTGAGCCAAAGTATCTTTATTGGTGCATTTCAGGACCAAGCATCTAATCTTGGGCTATGTGTCTGGTGAAGAACTTGCCCCTGGGCTCACATCACATATTCTTGATGGAAAAATATCTGTAACTAAATATATCTGTGTGTTTCTTCTTATAAGAATAAAACCATTTATTCAACAGAGCACCTGGATTTAGATATTCTGCAATAAAACACTGATGCTGAAAAAGGCAGTGATGCACAACAGAGCCTCCAAGAGGGCATCCTTTTACTCCAGTCACTTGCAATGTAATGGATGCCCCTCATTTCCACTTGTTCCACTTCCAGGGAAGATAATGGATGTCTCTTATTTGAGATACCACACCTCTAAGAGTCCCTTGCTTTTTGAAATATTGATCCACCTGCTCTAATTCAGGGTCACAATTGATAACTGTCTCTTCTCAAAAGCACAGGCTTCTTGCAGTACGTTGGAGCTGAAATTTCAGAGGTGAAACAAAATCAATGCATTACCTCCCTGCACTTCTGCAGCAATTCCAGCTGCCAGATCAAAGTTTCATTGGGCCAAAGTATTCAGTTTTGGTACTGGGTGGTAGTGGTGGTGAGTGGAACAAAAATACCACTGGTGATTGGATTAATCTTGGTGGAAAAACACTGAAGAACTTTTGGATCGGAGTGAGTGGGCTGACATTAAAAGATGAGGTGGCTGAGGTTTCTTCTACTTTCTTTCTTTCTTTCTTTCTTTCTTTCTTTCTTTCTTTCTTTCTTTCCTTTTAATTGGGAAAAAAAACCCCACCAAACTTTGCTGCTTCAGCTACATAGGGTAGTCGAATGACATTCTGTTTGAAATTTGTGACCCATTAACCAACGAAGTGGCATTACATCATGATGTAGCATTCTTCCTTATGTATTAGGAAAGCATATGGGGAGTTGACTCATCTAATCCAAACTTCTTGGACCAATGTGCAGATAGGACCATTCTTTGATTTTCCCTGCCTGCTGGAAGTTGCTGTCATCAATTGCTTTCTTTTCTTTTTCAGTGTATGATGTCATATGGTGTCACTGAATAACATCAAAGGCTTTCCTATGAGCTCCAAATCCTGTCTCTCAAGAGCTATAATTCAGTTCAATCTCATTTACTCCTGTGCAGCTGATTTGTTTTAAAAAATGCCTCCTTCAGTCCACTGTCTCAACAATTACTGTGTCTTCACCACCATTATCATGGATTTCCTTTCAGACTTAGTGTTCTAGTCACATTTTCTGGATTTCAGCAGAGTTGTAAGTTAAGTGGAATTTCTGTTTCTTCACCTTCTTCAAGGTCTAGCGCTGTCCTGTTGCTTTGGCAATCTTACCTTACTCAAGGGAATGCAAATGTCAGCAGTTTTAAGACGGTGTGGGAGGGAAAGCTAAAGAAGCCTCTTGACGCAGCTCTATTCATCCCCCTTGTGATTGGCACGATTTATGTAGGTAATAAACAGGCAGAAAATGACAGCAGGTTGCATGATTGTAATTTCAGCAATTAATGCTGACAATGCTGTGTTGAAACAAAATCACGAAACAAACAGTACTGCGTTTAAAATGGACAGTAAAAGCAGTAGGACTTGAGGATATTTATTGTCTAGGTTTTCAGACCATTGTAAGAAGAGTCAGGCTAGAGCAGGCCAAAGATCCATCTAGTCCAGCATCTTGTTTTAACACAAACAAGGGGAAGCCCACAAGCTGTACCTGGGTACAACAGGACCCTCCCACCTTGCAATTCTCAGCCACTGGCTTTCAGACAGTGGAGGTCAAACATAACCACTGTAGCTAGAAGTTGTTGATAGTCTTAATCTCCAAGTATTTGTCAAATTCTCTTTTTAAGCCAACCCCCACAACTTGCAGGAGGGCATTCCTTGGTTTGTGCCCTATGTCAAGAAGCACTTTCCTTTGCATGTCCTGATACTAACTTTTGGCTCCATTGGATAGCTCTGGATTCTGGTAATATAAGAAAGGGAGAAAAACATTTCTCTACCCACTTTCTCCAAGCAGGCACAAACTTATGTACTTTTATTTTGTCCTCTTTGAGCTTTTAAATTTAGAAACATGGTGAACAAACACCATAACCTTTCCACGTAGGAGACTAACTCCATCCCTTTAATCATTTTGGTTGCCCTTTTCTGAACCTTTTCCAGATCTACAATATTCATTTTTTTAGATGAGTTAACCAGTACGTCACACAGTATTCCAAAAGTGGAGCACCATCATAGATTTGTATAATAGCATTGTAAAATAGCCATGGGAAGATAGGAATCAACTTTAAAAGGGGAGTTAGATATTTTATAAGCAAGGTACCAGTATTTTTATTGTTTATAGTCTGATGTTTTACCTGTGAGAGACAGAAAATTATCTCATACAAAAAAAAAGTTGCTTAATTATGCTTCTGAATTATGCTTCAGAAAATGTCATGAGTAGCAACTGCTTTGGGGGAATGGGATGGACTGTGTTATAAGGCTTAAACAAAACTTGAGGAGACTTAGTAGATGGATTTTGCCAAGCTGTCTTAGTTAGATAGCATGTTGGCTGGCTAGAATGTTGTCTACCTATCAGAAATGGTGCCAGTTGCCTACATATTGTATTATTGATTGAGCGTTGGAATTGCACAACATCCTTCTAAAATTAATTTATAATGCAGAGGCAAATGATAACAACAAGCTTTTTGCAAAGATCCTGGTCATTTCTATCCAAGGAAAACCAGAAGAACCTGTTTTCCATGGAGTCACAGTGAGCAAAGAAAGATGAGGAGGGAAACCACTGTCTGATATTGTATACAAGAAAAGTTATTTCCATAGTATCAACAACACAATTAGTTCCTCATTCTGATTAGGGAGAAGCTTTTCCACTGATGTGGTCTTGTGCAACAAGAGAAACTGAGCTAAGTTTCAAGAGATGACAGCAAACTTTTTGTCAAGGAGTTCCCAAATGCCATCAAATTAGCTGCCTGACTGTGCACAAGGACAAAAGAGACATAAAAGAAGAGATATCTTGATTTGCTAACAGATTTAACAATAATACTCCGTACTTCCCTAGGTGTTTGGAATGCTCCACATTGATGAGCTCTGGTGTTAGCCAGCAATTTTCTGACAAAGATGGGGCAGCCTTTACCAACTGACTGTTGCAACTAATTGTTTGAAATAATGAGATGCCATTTAGGAAAAGCAATCAATAGCAGAATGATGCCAATTAACTTCTAAGAACTAAGGTCATGATAACAGGGGGAAAGCTGGTACCAGAGATGTCCAGAAGACTCTTCGTTCCAAAACTCCCCCAAAAGGTATAGAGGTGATGAATCCGTTCTTCCATTTAAGTCCAGAATTGATTTTTTTGTTTTATTTATTTGAAAGATTTAGATGCCACATCCTAAAGTCATGTTCTTAGGGCAGTTCCAAACAGATTAAAAATGCATGTAGTAATTTAAGAAAACATACAAAAATATCACCCTTTTTTAAAAAAAAACAACAAAATATATAGAAGGAAGAGATTAAAAGGCCTAGGGAAATAAGATATTTTTTACCGGCCACCAAATCCAAATAGCATTTCAAATAATATTCCTCAACCCCCACCCAAAGTTTTATTGATTGGTGGTGAAGAGTCATCCCACAACAGTTCACTAAGCATGTCTGATAAGGACAGTGGTGGATGTACTAGGAAAGGAAGGGAGGAAGGTAGGAAGGAAGGACAATCCCTTTGAGGTTTGGTAATCTAAAAAAAGCTACACTTCCAAAACTGTCACAGTGGCAGATTCCCGTGACACAAAAGTTATGTAAAAACTGATATAAGAAAGAACTACTGTTACAAAGGGACAGAATACCCAACAGTTCAAATGACGTAAGTAGAATAAAAAAACTGCTTGTCCACATTTCTGAAAAGTACAATATCAGCAGAAGTGAGGAAACCACAACAATATTGTTATTGCTAAGAAAAGCCTTCACGAACAAGCCAGGCCTCCACAATTTGTGCCCCACTAGCTATATTTAGCATCCAGAAATTTCCTTTTTTTAAAAAAATAATATTTATTACTTTTCCAAAAATTTAAACACTAAAAAGACAATACAATGCAATACATTAAACTAACATTACAAAACAAAAACAATAAATCAAACAATTTCATTATCCCATCTTTCATTCACTTATTTCCACGACATCCTCACACCTCCCTTTTTGTATACCACTTCTGTTAATTATTTCAGCAATTCCTTTCCATCTTCCTCTGTTTTCTATCCTATAATTATCTTAACTCATTCTAACCTTATTTTTCCTTTAATACTCTATTAATCTATTTATACTTAATTCCTTATAACGTTTCTACTAAAGCCATATAACTTCCTTCCAACATTTTTCTAACATTCACTAATTTTACAGTATTTCTGTAAATGGTCTTTAAATTTTTTCGTCTTCTTCCACCGACTCTTCTCCCTGGTCTCGGATTCTGCCAGTCATTTCCGCCAGTTCCATATAGTCCATCAACTTCATCTGCCATTCTTCCCAAGTGGGTAAATCTTGTGTCTTCCAATATTTCGCGATGAGTATTCTTGCTGCTGTAGTTGCATACATAAAAAAAGTTCTATCCTTCTTTGGCACCAATTGGCTGACCATGCCCAGGAGAAAAGCCTCTGGTTTCTTTAGAAAGGTCTATTTAAATACCTTTTTCATTTCGTTATAAATCATCTCCCAGAATGTCTTAATCCTTGGGCATGTCCACCAAAGGTGAAAGAATGTGCCTTCAGTCTCCTTACATTTCCAACATTTATTGTCGGGCAAATGGTAAATTTTTGCAAGCTTGACTGGTGTCATGTACCACCTATAAATCATTTTCATTAAGTTTTCTCTTAGGGCATTACATGCCGTAAATTTCATACCTGTGGTCCATAACTGTTCCCAGTCAGCCATCATTATGTTATGTCCAACATCTTGTGCCCATTTAATCATAACTGATTTCACCGTTTCATCCTGAGTGTTCCATTTCAACAGCAAGTTATACATTTTTGACAGATTCTTAATTTTGGAATCTAACAATTCTGTTTCCAATTTTGATTTTTCCATCTGGAAACCAACTTTTTTGTCCAAATTGTATGCCTCCATTATTTGACAATAATGGAGCCAATCTCGCACTTTATTTTTCAATTTTTCAAAGCTCTGCAATTTTATTCTGTCTCCATCTTGGTCCAGAATAGCATCCAGAAATTTCCACACAGAAGCATTTTGCTTGCCAATTTCAACACTGCTTCTACCCTCAGCACCCATTTTGAGCCAAAATACAACATTCTGGTGCTCTTCCCCTAGGTTGCAAGTACCTCGCCATTGAGGTGGGTGTGTCCAGTCAAATTTAGCTGCTCAAGCCATTCTTGTTCCTCTGATTTTTAAAAATTGCAATCTTTATTTATCATTGCATCACACGCCCAGCTTGAAATAATGGGCTTCTAGCATGTAAAGATGCTCTGCTGCTTGAAGAAAGATGATTGCGGTCAAAATTACAAGGAAGTTCTTTGCTTTGCACGAGCTGTTGTCTCTCAATATGGTTTTATAACACACCAGTTTATAGGCTGAGGTAGTCCATGTGGTGCTATCCAGATGCTGTTGAACTAGAACTCCCATCATCCATGGCTATTAGCCATGCTTAGATAGTAGTTGTAGTCTGTGATATCTGGAGGGCAGCACATCGGCTATCTAAGTTAAATGTTATAACCTATGTCTTCTTTATTCACATTTTTTTTTACTTGTAATGCAACCTTTGGGACACTCCAGTGCTGCATTATAAGAAATATTCCACTATGACCTCCATAAGAGCTGGAAGAAACATTTTCTCCTGCTCACAGTTGGGTTTTATTTAATCCAAGCCCCTTAGTTTCTTGCTATTTATTCCATTTTGTCAAATATTTATACAGGATGCTAACAGGTAAAATAAGGTATAGTCGTTTCTCCTCCCTTAAATATCCTGTTTATCTGTCTCCAGCAAGATGTTCAGTTCTCCACACTTCTATGTGAATCATAAACCACTTAAGGGCTGAGAGATAAATCTGTGTGCTAACAGATTCATGTTTACTTCTGCTTCAAATTAAAAAATGGAAAGGGAAGGGGAGAACACACACACACACAAAATAGTGTTAGGTCAAAAGACATTTTCACTGGAATACAAAAACAGTACTGGAGGAAATTAAATAGAATGAAAATGCCCCCCTTTATTGACCCATTCACATGCAGTAAAAATGGGGGGGGGGGCATTTTGGTGAACTGGGGGTGGATGAGCAAAAGTTACCATATTTTACAGGGAGAGCCTTGCTGTTTGAAAGCACAGCTTCTCATTTTTCTTATAAAGTAAAGACGTCCAAATTGTGGACCTGATCCTTCAGACACATGTAGCCTTCTAGCCTGCATGGCTACTGTTTGGGTATGATGGGAACAATGGAAGCGTCACAGGTACTCCACTCCTGCTTTAGTGAAAATGCAGTCCCATCCAAAAGAGGTTTAACCGTTCACTATTCACCATCCTCAGTTTTCAACTGAAGTGTCATGAGTTTGAACTCTCAGCTCAGATCTTGTGATCCCATTAGAGGGCAATGTGTCAAACATTATTATGAGCTAGACTTAAAAAAACCCCAACCCAAAACATTTAACTATGTGCACTCAGAATTCCCAGGTAAGTGTCCTTAGAATTGCATCCTGTAGCAATTGGAAGAAACCAATTTTAGTGTACAGTGGTACCTCGGGTTAAGTACTTAATTCATTCTAGAGGTCCGTTCTTAACCTGAAAATGTTCTTAACCTGAAGCACCACTTTAGCTAATGGGGCTTCCTGCTGCTGCTGCGCCGCTGGAGCACGATTTCTGTTCTTATCCTGAAGCAAAGTTCTTAACCTGAAGCACTATTTCTGGGTTAGCAGAGTCTGTAACCTGAAGCATATGTAACCTGAAGCGTATATAACCCAAGATACTACTGTATTGTTATGCGCCACCCCAATCTCCGAGGGGTGTGAGATTCCAAGGGTACCAGGCATGCTTATCAGGGTTCATGTTTTCTTTTGGAACAATGAGGCACAGCGGGGACTGTGGTGTCTTTATGATATATGGTTTATTAATGCATATTTACAGCCTGAATCTAGATTGAGAGAGTTCAGAGCATTCAGATTCCAATAGGGTCTCTTGCTTCTCCCATTGGCACAGCAGGCTTGGGACTCAGAACAGAGAAATCAGCCATGCTCTCTGTCTCTTTAGGTTATCACAGTCAGCTATCACATGGTGCCCCTGACCGCCATTTCTTCTTCCTTGTTGCTGCTAACAGACTGAAAAGGATCCCCCCCCCAGTCTACATCACCCAAACTGAAATCATAAACCCCTAAACCCACTTAGAAGAAGGGGCTCCATCCCTCCCATTGCTGTCTGGCACTGAGTGTCCTGATGACTCATCTTTTGATTACTCATCAGTCTTTGTCCCCCTAATAACCCATACTCAACTAGCAATCACTAGACTGGCCTGGTTTGTTAACATAAACTTAATTCAGGGGTTCAGTGCTTGGCATAGTTTAACTCTCCAAACCTTGATTAATTTCTAACTTTTATTGGATCCAGGAATTTAGGGTGTCTCACACCTCACAAACTCATAAGTCACCTTCTTTTTTGCCTGGTTTTGTCATTGCACAACTTAAAAGCTTGCATACAAATAAGACACAAACATCTAAAAAAGAATACCTTAACTATTTTATATGTCTTATATTCTCCGATCTTGGGGTCAACATGACAACAGCTGTCTATACAAGGCAAGCATGTACATTCAGGCCATCCGCAATTACTGTGGATGTAATTGATAAGAAATCAAATCAGGAGAGCACCGAGGATGTAATCACTCATATGGAGCCTTGCAAGCTTTAATCAGCAGATTAATCCATTAACGCTTTAGTTGATTAATTGGTTAGGAGTCCAATATTAATCAGTGAAGGCAAATTTTAATTGATGGGGCTGAGAGTGAAAGAAACCCTTGCTAATCTTCTGAAGCTATTTTGGTTCTGGTGCATCAGAAACAGGGAATAAAATATTAAAGAAGGAACCATTAGTAGTCATGCTTGTTTATTAAATTGTGAGTTTTCGCACATCCTTCAGAATCTCAAAGACGCCAGTACTGGAAAGTTTTATAATAGAGAAATAAATTTTAATTACGGTAATTAATTTTACGATTTCCATCCCAACTTTTAGCAACATTTTAAAGTGCCTAATAATATAGGGGGAAAAACAGTGCAGTTGTGTACATGTTTACTCAAAGGTAGGTCTGGCTGATTTCCAAGGGGCTGACCCCCCAGGTAGGCAAATATAAGATAGTAGCCAAACACAATAAAATATAATAAAACAGCAGAACACCAACAAGTGATTAGATAACGTCAAAAGGTGTTGTCCCACACTTTCCAATGAATTCCCCTGTCACTTTCCTTATCTCAAAAAGTCAGATCTTTTGCAAGAAGCAGGCTTGTTGATCAAGACTCTATGGTCACATCCACACAATACATATAAAACACTATTAAACCACTTTAAACAGTCGTGACTCCCCCCTCCCATGCAAATCTGGAGACCTGCAGTTTGTTAAGGGGTCAAGAGACCCCTATTCCCCTCACATGGCTACAATTCCCAGAGTTCTTTGCAAAGCGGAATTGAAGGGGTCTCTGTTTACCACTCTCAGCGCCTTTAACAAATGACACTTCCCAGGATTCCTTGTGGGAAGCCATGACTGTTGAAGGTGGTGCCACAGTGCTTTAAATATATGGTGCAAATGCGTCCTATAATTCTGCAGACTGAATTTGTGATTCGAGGACCCGATCTCCGCTTGGGGAATAAAGACATGTGGACACAGAATGTAAGGTTAATGGGTAAGGTAAAGGCCACAACTTTATTGATTACAGCATGTGAGAAGGTATTGGCTTAGGCATTGGACCACGGAACATTAGACTCCACCCACTCATAGAGGGGTGAGTCTGAGGAGGGGTTAACCACCAGTAGGGGAAGCCTTTTGATGCTAATCCAACTATAGGCTCTCTTCCTGATGTCACCGAGGGTCGTGCCAAGGCCCCCCGCCACACAGGCATCAGCCAGGATCCACGACCGCCGGATTCCTTTAGCGGAATACCCAAAATTGTCGGGGAAGGCGATGGCCACACCTTTCCCCCCAAAACACCAACAACACATTCCAATGCCTAACCGCCACCCGAGCCAAAAGGCTCGACGCCAATACCCTCACTGCTGCAACCAATCCCTAAGACTATTGGATATGTTAGCCAGCCATATGTTGTTTCCCCGATCTGAAAGATGACTCAAAGAAAATGTGTGTGCAATGGTGGGGATGGCTGGTGCGGCTGCGCTGGAGCAGCAAGCCCCGCCCCGCTGAGCTTCCCTATTGGGTGCCCAACCAGGGAGGGGCGTGGCACCAGCCCTGGAGTTGAAGCAGGGGGCGGAGCGCGCCCTGCATGCCGCGGGAATCGTCTCCCGCTCACAACCCCTCCCCTCCTGGGAGGAGGAAAGGCTTTGCTGGTATGTGATAGAATTCAACCCCGAATAGTGACAGTCTGTTAGTACCCTCTTTCTTCAAAATGGTGTGCACTTGTTATAACCACAGGTCTTTCATTTTCAAGCACAAAACAGCAGCGGGGGGCGAAATACCTTTGCTATTTACATCATTTTGGCAGTCATGAAAATGCAGGCACTTACCTGTTTGTGAGCGTGGTCATAGGAGTTGATGTGATTGTCAAACTCTTGATGCTTATAGTATTGTTTATCACAAAGTTCACAATAGAAGTTGGCTTTAAGGTCTTCCAGAGCCTTGGCGATTGTATTCTCCTTTTCAGCATAATCCTGTAGAGAGGAAGAGTAAGGATTCTTAGTTGTTATTCCAACATTACAAATATGAGGGATGGGTTGCTGGTTTTTCGTACTGGGTAATTTAATCAAATTTGTCAACCTGTAACTAAAAGCTTGCTCTTACTTGCTTTATCAGCAGAGGAGCATAACATTTTTGCACACTCCAATTTGCACTTCCAACTGACAGCTACCTCTAGGGCTAAGGAAACATGTCGTTTAATCTTATGGAAAAGGAAATAAATAAAATGAATATTTATCTTGCTTACGGCTATGTAAATGTTAATTTCTATCTGTGGTGGGGGGACGACGACGACGACACACACATTAGTGTGGTCAAAACCTTCAGAGCATAAATACATTTCAGCAGAACACATATGGAAATTAAGACAGTCATTTAATTTGGTTACAGGGCTGTTTTCAGTAAACAGTAATAAACAAATTGCTGCTTGAATATTAGGAATAAAAAGGGGGAAGGGAATAAATATGTAGGAGGATGATTCTACAACTGAATAATTATTTATTTTCAGGCTACAACTGAATAATTATTTATTTTCAGGCTACAACTGAATAATTATTTATTTTTAAAAATGGCCATAGTTTGGGGATAGGCAATCTGTTGTCGGTGAACTACAACTCCCTTCAACCCTGACATGTCGGCTGCGGCTGATGGGAGTTGGAATCCAACAATATCTGGAGGGTCAAAAGTGCCCCCATCCCTGGCACAGGCCATGCTTTTTGCTGGGGTTGAATCAGCCAGTGATGAAAGAAAGACTGCCACTTACTGTGGCCTCAGTAGCATATACAGTATAAAGCAGGGGTCAGCAAACTTTTTCAGCAGGTCCACTGTCCCTCAGACCTTGTAAGGGGCCAGACTAGATTTTTTGGGGGGTAATGAACAAATTCCTATGCCCCACAAATAACCCAGAGATGCATTTTAAAGAAAAGCACACATTCTACTCATGTAAAAACACCAGGCAGGCTCCACAAATAACCCAGAGATGCATTTTAAATAAAAGGACACATTCTATTCATGTAAAAACACGCGGGTTGGATTTAGAAGGCGATTGGGTCAGATCCGGCCCCTGGGCCTTAGTTTGCCTACCCATGATATAAAGTGCTCCTTGCCTTTCTCCCTTTGCATGCCACCTTTAACTTTTCCGAATTTTTAGAGCTGTAAGGCAATGGGGATACACTCATTGGTTGGATGCAAATGCTGAGCAGCACCTGACTTATACTGAGACAGACCATTGGTCCATCAAGCTCAAGGCTGTCAATACTGATGGGCAGTGTGGCTCTCCAGGCTTTCAAGTAGCCCTTCCCACTGGCAATTGACAGTTCTTAGACAGGCTACTATGTATCGATCTATTAAGTCCCCATTTTCTTCCCATCTCAAAGGACCCTCACAGCCCTCTCTTTGCATAGCTAGCCTAAATCCTGAATAAATGTGAGGATTCCTACTCAAGCAAAACCTCTGAGGAATGTTGAGGATTCCTTAAGACTAGCAGGGCATCTTAGGGGGGAATTTTCTGCATCCTCTGGCCAATTTTGCCTAAATTGAAATTCAGAGTGCATCTCAGGTGTGAGATGTGAGGAGCTACACAGGAAACCTAAAGCATTTTGATAAGGCTGTTGAAATCTCTAGAAACCGTTCTCCATATTTCTCAGTGACAAGTGGCTGTTTTTGTCTTTCTTCTGGCATAAAGTGTAGGAGGGGTCATGGCTTTGCATGCAGGAAGTCTCAGATTCAGTCCCTGGAACCTCTTCTTGAATCCTCTTCCATCCATCAGAAAGGATGGAAGGACCTTGACCTGAGTTCCAAGAGAGCTGCTACCAGACAGAGAAGACAAGAATGGGCTCCATGGAAAAAAACTGACCTAGTAGGTGATAATTTCATCTGTTCCTAAATACTTATTTTCAGTGCTGAACATTGACATCTCCCACAAACAGTGATCGCTGCCTTCTGCAATAATGTCCCCATTTTCTTCACAGGCAACTGTACACACACACACCTAAATGCACACCATAACTGTGCAGCTGGAAAATTGTCTTGAAGCAAAACCTGAAACTGATGTATGTCAATGGAAAAACCAGTCCGATCATTTTAAGGTGCCACTAAATCCTGCCATGCTTGTGATGGAACGGCTGCTTTACTACGGTCTTCTGTGTGTTCTACATGAGTTAAGTATTTGCTACTGCAAAATGACTTTTTTAAAAAAGGGAAAAAGGAGTCCCATAAAATCGCTTGATTAAGTTTTTAAATGTTAGGCAAGCAGTTTTGCATGGAGATATGGTTATTATTTATTATTTATGATGCTCTTCTGGTACTTTAAAACGGAAGAGCTAAATCAAAGGGATAATATTATTGCATATGAGCGTGCAAATACCAGATGATATCAACGAGCTCTTGCAGACCTTTCCTTGCTCTTATCATTTCACAGAATATGACCAGGATTTTGCAAAACACATTATTATTATTTACTAAGCATATTTGGCTTATGGATGAATAAAATTGGGCATTCTGGTGTCTTCTGGTTTAATGTAAGTTACCTTAAACTGGGGGAGAACAATATAGTTAGTCTAAAATTAACCTCAGCAGGTTCATGAGACAGTCTACTGGTTATGACTTGCAGAGGATTTGTACTGCATTGTGATAAAGAAGCAGAATTGTTGACTGTGGTATTAATGGAACCTCCTGGGTGTCCTCAATGATATCAGCAACAGCAGATAAAACACCCAAAAAGACAGCTTGCCCACCACAACTGATCTTTCTCCGTATTGTGTAGCCTCGGGTTGCAGGTGTTTGGGGACATACAAATAGGATCTGCAAAATGTTGCTCTGTGGTGGGTTCCTGTTCAGAGTTTCAGTCAGCTCACCAACCATGCCCATTTCCAGAATACTGCATTCCACTCCATTTTCTCCCTCCCCACACATACAGACAGGTTTCACTTTCCTCTGCTGTCAGTCAGCTAGCACTCCATGCCAGCTGAGCATGCTTAGATATCAATCAGTTGTGGGGAATCACAATCAGTTGTGTACAGCTGGAAGTCCTTGCACAGGGCTTCTGCTGACAGGGCTCATTAGGTGAATCCTAATGAATTCTGTGAGTTTCTGTGAGCCAAGTGGATCCTCCCGCTTGTCTGTGGGTTGTGGCATTTTAGTTACACAAGGATCCACGCTCCGAGAATGAGCTCGCCATTGGTTTCCAAACAGGAATATTTCTCAGTCCTTGGAAATGTCATTTTTAGAACCTGGGGTCTTCCACAAGTAAAGCATATGGTCTATCAATGAGCTACAGCTCTCTCCCAAACAGAGGAACAGAATGTGACTATGCAAAGTCTGTGCATGGGGCCAGTCCTATTAGGAGGAACCTTAGAGTGCATGGGCTTTTAGCTCCAACCCCCCTGGAAACCACTGCCTTAATGCCATGTCCAAATGGCCATTTGAGGAAATGTTTGTAGACCAAATCAACTCTGTTATATATTCGCATCCTATTGGTCATGTTCCAGCCAGCCAAACCTATGCATTTGGAACTACCATTTATTTAAATGGCAGAATTATGCACAAATATAACTGTCTCATTCAAATCAGAGAGACTTAGCTTTGGAAGACTTATGGGCACTTTAATTTTTATATTTTTTGTGAATCGGTATCTTACTTCCCCAAATTATATCTTTTTGCCACCTACTCCCCCAATTTGTGCCTATTTAAAGAAGCCACATTTCCCCTTTGCTTCTTCTTTTTCACTTTAATTAGTATTTTCTACAAGTGAAATGAAAAAAAATGGCAATCATGACAGAGCTTGTCAAACATTATTATGTATACTTAAGTCATTTATTTTTCATTCCCCCTGAGATTCATTACAATCCACAAACTGATTTTCTTTCAAATACATATCTTTTAAGCTGGGTTTTTCTTTTTTAAAAAATAATTAAATACAAATCAGTGGCTGCAGAAAGTGCATCTTACTTATTCGTCCTGTTGAGATGTTCCAGAAATGTACCCTGAATGAAAGTAAATACCTATTATGAATAAAACACTTTAGAATTTAAAATTATATGTATTCAAACAGATGCTGGTTGAAATCCAAAGAGAAGGCTTGGTGATTCTCCACCTCCTTCTGTAGAGATGCTTCTCTAAAACCCATTGCTCTACCTCAGTTTCCATTTGACAATAGCTCTCCAATCTATTAAGCCTTTTAATGGAAATTTACCATCTTTCTTCTGTCCTGTTATTTGCCTAGGAAATCTCACCACTAGTCCTGCTTTATGCATGATGAAGTTATATGCTATAAGTACTTAAAGATCAAGTCACCGAAAAGATGCCTCCCAATTGGGCAGGTCTCAAATAATTGTACAGAGACTTGCTTCTGTCTGCTGCTTTGCCTTCTTTTCTTTCTTTTTTCTCCTAAGCACAAGAGGGAAGTTCAAAAACACACTTCAAGAAGCATATTTTAGTTTATTGCCCATGAGTCCTAACATCCTTCCTCCCTTGTTGTGAAGAATACGTTTTCTTTCAAATAGATTTGGTTATTCTGTGGAGAACAAGTTCAAGATGAATTTTAAGTTCATCGATTACTCCAAAAAGTCCCTCAGGTGCAAACGAGGCCTTCCATGGGCACACCAGTATGAGTCTAGTGCACGTGTACATGTCTTTTTGCATACAGAATCGTCTTCTGTTTCTCCTGGAGAGAACTTTGGACTCTCCTCACAGTCAGGTGCAGAGGGAGGCTGTTTTAGGGTTCTCACAAAACTCAGCTGGGCATACAAGAGTTCTCAAGTGTCCAGTCATAATGACTCTCAGCCAATCCACACATCCAAACACGGGCCCTAAGCTCCAATACCAAAAACCCAACTGATGCATGAAATGTGCTTGAGGAATTTTACTAGTCTTTTCTCAACACTTTTGGCTTGCCGCAAAATCTCTCAGATGGGAAAGTTACACAAGTTACAAACACACACACACAAACACAAACACAACACTTTTCAATTGCTGAATTCCTGTTTAGGTGAAGTCTTCCCCATCTCTGTTCGCTCCATGTCCCATCCTTGTACATACTTCCTTTCTACTTGCTAAAATTTAGAGGCTTATGGAATTCCCATGAGACTTCATCCTCCTCCTGACTAGACTTCTGAAGTATTTTTGGCCTAGGTAGTGACTTCTCAGATTTTAAATACTCCATTTCCCTTGGCTGCAAGAGCTGAACTCTGCCAGATACTCCTGATAATATATTTGACAGTAAATAACTTAGTTATATCAAATACCCCAATTGTTTTCTAGGGTTGTGAAAAAATGTTATGGTTCTAGAATAAGTTAGGGTTGCCATATTTGAAAAATATTTTGGCTCCACCTACTGTTGTCTTCCATGCTTTCCATCCTACCAGCCACCACTGACAGCTTCACATATCCCTACTGTAATAAAAAATTGATCCTGCAAGTGTTGCTCTCTGGGCATAAAAATACAATAATAACATGTAACATAGCTAGCAATTTGCTGCCTTTCATGACACTCAGTATCAGCTGTCTGAGGCAGCTGGCTCCCTTTCCTCAATGATAGGGCTGGCCCTAACTGTTTTTATTTTCCTAGGTTCCCTAAAATGTGGAGAGGCAAACCGATGCTTTGCATCAAGCCAATTTTGTGACTTATAAAATGTGTTTCTCCTTTTTTATTTGTATTTATGGCTATACTGAATAAGCAGTTTTTATTTCTCAAAATCTCAGACTGCTTTTACAATCTGTGTACTGAGTTTTACAAGGATTTTTATATCTGACTGGAAAAGCAGCGCATTCAGGGAGGGATAGCTAGTGAAACTTTTTAGCCACTGAGACCACCGAAGGCTTCAATCTAATGAACTCCCCCCCCCCACAGTCTGACAGCCAGATTACTTCCTAAAGGCAGTTCCTTAGTAGCGAGCTGTGACTTCACAAGATCTGAAGCAAACATGTTAATGATTTAATCTATGAAGTGGCTGAATCTGTGAAAATGTTAAAAGTTCTCTCCAAAGGTCACTTTAGCGAAAACACTGAGGGCTGATATACACACAAGTACGTGATGTCTTGGTGAGATGGGTTGAGCTTTCAAATGTGGGTTATGCTTGTAGATGCATAAGTACAAGGACATGTTTAGGATTCTACATGGTTTTGTACAAAGAATGCTTCCTTTCAAATTCCTCCCCCATGCCAGAATTGTAAGCCCAAT